CGCTCCCCTAATCGCCTCATTGATGACAGTACGTGCTAATGATATCAGTACTGTGAAAGGACAATGCCCGCCATTGGTTTGAAATCAACATTGTGTAATTGAAACGTAGAAATACAGTTCATTTCATTCTCGGGGTGTCAAATCAATAAATATTTGCTTCTGTTAATATTGTGTTAGGTTTTTTTTATTCATTTGTCCGATAACATTGGATTTCCACTCCAATGGTGGTCCTCTGCTGATAGGGATGCGCGTCTTGTGATGAGACAGAGACATATACAGTCATACGTCTCTGGATCAGACTGTACTGGAACAGTTTCGGTTTTATACGTGTCTAGTCTGAGTTTCCATGAGCTTCAAGTAAATGAAAACTGGAAGACAACATCAGTGCTGAGACGATCAACAAAGGTAAGTACTCGTTTAGGTGATTTTTAACTACAGTTTATATTCGATGATTGATATATTAAAGGTAATATGGTTCAAATAGAATGGAGAGAAGGGTTTGAAGAAGTTCCTAGTGAATCGTTGAATGGTGATGGAATTAGCTAGTATTAAGGATCCTTGTTCCACTGCACTGCCAGAAACTGTAACTACACATCGGAAAATGTTTTATTTTTCGGCAGAACTATAGCTTTTATAAATCATTTCTGAAAAGAAAGCTATACCTTGTGTGACTTAAATGAAAAATACAGCTGTAATAGATATATAATAAAAAATATAACAAATAAATGTTCTGAGTGTAAACATTCAGCGGGGATAGACCGAGATTCGAACCCTTGACTGGAGTGTGTTGGGGTTAGTGTATTTTGTTTTGCTTGCAGTGGGACGGTGATTGTTTGATACGCCATACGTAAACGGAGCAAAGAATCCCGCAACATGGAAAAACGTCTCATGTTTGCATAGTAGGGTCCGGAATCTAGAGGACCCGTACAAACTGAAACACACAATACACACTTTAAGATAACTTAAAAGTACGTAACAAAATATTTAGTCAATTGCTCTATAATCTGGGATATTTTTCATTAATTATTTAACTTTTGTATGTTTAAAGCTATCAACGATCATATGCTTTTTATATAAAAACTTTTCAGCATATAAATTCAACATTTTATTTTTGCTCTTGCGTTAAACCTTAACGAATGTTTTCTTTGTTCCTGCAAAAGACAACGTACGTCCTCTCCTCGGCAAGACCCCGCGTGCTAACATCCGGGCCAATGAGAGTGATTATAAGCTGATAGAACTTTATATATATTTGAAAATAAAACCTATATTTACTGTTAATGCAGTCGCCACAGCTCAACTAATACTTTCACAGGTGTTACTTTCAAATCCGACAGCAAATTTATAACGACGTCGAATGTCAGTACACAGCTTATTAATAAGTAAATGCAATAAATACAATGGCAAACTGTTATTTGAACTAAAATCAATTAAACTAGTGGGAAATAATAACAAAGGAAATATTTACAATGAGACTATTACAAAGTACAAGTAGAATAAGCCCAGGTTTTCCCGAAGGGTCAGTATTTTCTGCTTCATAGACGACACCCGACATGTCATCCTGGGTTAAATTCAAGTTATATCACGTTCTTGTAGGGAAAGCCAGTGTGTGACGGCGAAATCACAAAGCACAATAATAATTACGCACCATAAATCAAAGTACTTAAAGCGCTGCAGACACATGCTTTCTTGATGTTGCAATATTTCAATAGTTATATAACATTTATGGCAAAAAAGAACACAACACAGTCAGTTGAGATGCAGGATCAACACCACTTAAATTTGTTGAAACAGTTGTGAACAGATACTTATTCTAATTTAATTTCTGTGTTGGCAATAGTCTGAAATGTATATTCCCTCCAAGGACCAACCAAAAGTACTGTTTCGAGAGCTTTTGGCTCTGCTTCTGCTATAAACAAAGAGTGGACTTCCGAATGCATAATTGTATGACTGTTGCAATATCTCCTTAATGCCTTTTGGTATAGGGTGAAACATTTATTTCCTATAGACCAGCAGCAGTGCACGTGTGTCACAAATGTCTGTATGTAAACTAGGTTTTTGCCATGTGTCATATGTCAGTATACACTTCTTCGGATGATTATGCAAATGGTAACAGTATGAAACTTAAATCAATTCCCCATAATAAGCAAAGAAGAATAAAAGGTTTGATTATTTGTATTACTTTTTAGCTATAGTGTAATCGCTGTATTCCCCAAGCAAAGCACATATTCGACCAATGCTCTGATGATACAAAGTTCAACAGGATACATGTAAATTTCGCTGATTGGTGTATTCCGTCAGTCTTACCAGGATACTTAATTTCAGATTTATTACAACAAGGTATAGTATTGTAAGGCAATCCATAGTCCCCCATCGGTAATGATTTCTATATTTAACAAACAGTAGGCTTATGTCAGGAAGCATGGGTCACAGTGAGGTAATAGTGACATTATTCTTACACTTTGAACTGTATAGAAGATATGCTCCCGACGAACATTTTCAAAAGTGAAGTTGGAAGGTCAAGTCAAAGGTCACAGTGACCTTATTCTTGCACTCTGCACTCTTCCATCCCAAGATGTCATTGTACACCAAATCTGGTTACTCTAGCTGAAACATTATAGAAGATATGCTCCCGACAAACATTTTCAAAAGTGAAGGTCAAAGGTCAAGTCATAGGTCACGTTGACCTTATTGTTGCACTCCGCACTTCGCCATCCTAAGATGTCATTGTATCCCAAATCTCGTTACTCCAGGTGAAATAGTATAAAAGACATGCCCGGACAAATATTCAAAAGGTAAAGTTTGAAGGTGCAGTCATAGGTCACATTGACCTTATTGTTGCACTCCGCACTTCGCCATCCTAAGATGTCATTGTACACCAAATCTGGTTACTCTATCTGAAACGTTATAGAAAATATGCCCCGGACAAATATTTTCAAAAGTGAAGTTTGAAGGTCAAGTCATAGGTCACAGTGACCTTATTCTTGCACTCTGCACTCCGCCATCCCAAGATGTCCTTGCACACCAAATCTCGTTACTCCAGGTGAAATAGTATAGAAGATCTGCCCCGGACAAATATTTCAAAGGTTAAGTTTGAAGGTCAAGTCATAGGTCACAGTGACCTTATTCTTGCACTCTGCAATCCGCGATCCTGAGATGTCATTGTACACTAAATCTGGTTACTCCAGGTGAAATAGTATTGAAGATATGCTCCCGACAAATATTTCAAAGGTAAAGTTTGAAGGTCAAGTCATAGGTCACATTGACCTTATTCTTGCACTCTGCACTCCGCCATCCCAAGATGTCATTGTACACCAAATCTGGTTACTCTAGCTGAAACAGTATAGAAGATATGCTCCCGACAAACATTTTCAAAAGTGAAGGTCAAAGGTCAAGTCATAGGTCACAGTGGCCTAATTCTTGCACTCTGCAATCCGCGATCCTAAGATGTCATTGTACACTAAATCTGGTTTATCCAGGTGAAATAGTATAAAAGATATACCCCGGACAAATATTTTCAAAAGTGGAGGTCAAAGGTCAAGGCATAGGTCACAGTGACCTTATTATAGAACTCTGCACTCCGCCATCCCAAAATGTCATTGTACCCCAAATCTGGTTACTCCAGGTGAAATAGTATAGAAGATATTCTATGTGTAATTATTTACATTTTTGTTTCTTTCGCAGCTAAGGAGGACATGAAGTGAACAGAGTATGATTTGATGGTTCTGAATAAAAACCGATAAAATATTTTGAGATCGAAGTAGCAGCCGGTGTTAGCTCCAGTGGCACCAATTTTTTGCTGTCAAGCATGTAAACCACATGATGGTGACATTGGAAACAATGAAAAGATAAAACTAACTATTGTAATTAAAATACAATCAAATGTATTTCTTTCTATTTTTTGTGTTCTTTTGAATTTTATGTTCAGCTTTTATACAGTGTTAAAGTGTGGAGTCTGTTACGTCATCTACAACTGTATGTATTCAGGCCTTTGTATTAATAACGCCCACTTTCATTCAGTGACATGAAAGGCCCATCGTGTTTGGGCATCACACAAAAGGCTTTTGTGTTAATAAAGCCCAGTTCTTTGTAAACATAATACACACTTCGGCCACGACATGAACATACAGGGACATTATGAGAGATAATGTACGTTACAAACAAAAGAGCAATGGTTTAAAGTATACATTTACACAATAAAATTACGGTAATGGCTATCATTCATAGCAATTGTCCTTTAAGACTGGAGGCCGTATACCTGACCAGGTAAGCCAATTAAACTGTCTTTTGTCAAAACCTGAAAGCAGTGCTCAACCTGGTAAGACCAGGTAATCTTGTTAAGAAATAGACTTAAAAGGTATATGTTTACGATAAGCACAGTTTAGTTAATCTGACACCAAGGATTCAAACGAATGATACACGAACACTTCAAAGAAAAGGCTCCGTAAATGGAACCTATCGTAATTGAAACAAGTTTAAGAGAGTTAATGATATAAACAATTTACTTAAAATAGTTCAGGCATACTAGACTTTCCCTCGGTGAATTAAATGTGCACTAGGGAGTGATATATGAAAATGCAAAGTTTTTTTTAAAGTATTAAAAAATAACGATGTAATGAGAGATTGAATTCAAGTTCAAAGGACTTTGGTCGTTATGGGCCATTTTTGGCCTCATCAAAAGTAAAAAAAATGTACTGACCAACTTCTGTTATAAGCATCATATTGGTTAATTGGGACTACCTTTCTTGGTGAACATATTTTCCGATGCGCATGCGTAGATCAACACAATTGCATTGCTATGCAGAAATAGCAAAAATATGGTGTTTTTGGACTGTTAGCATGCAGAAATGAAAGCCTGCGCATTTGACAAACATATAATCCTTTCTACAAATGAACACTGGTATGACAATGTTTAAGCATGTCAAATATTTATTTATTTGCTGCATGGCGATGCGGAGGCTTTCAAAAATTGAAAAGTCTTTAGTTTATTTCCTTCAAAATGGTCAATTTCCAACCAAACATTGCACAACAAACGATATTCACGCATTTTGTTATGAAAATGCGGGTTTATTTCTCTCTTTATAATGCCATATCTCCTAAACCAGTTGTCGAATGAATATGAAATTCCATATTTGCGGACTTCATTTATTCCACATTACGGATATAAAAACTAATTCTAAATCTCCGATGAGGCCGGAAATGACCCTAAACGCCCCTAGTCCTTTAGCACTTTTAATATAAAATTACGTATGATAGTACGATAATAATAGCGGTATAAGTAGTACATGTATAATTCCACATGGAAGCAAGCATCAAGAACATTTCATTGTCCATATTGGTGAAAGGGTGATTATTTTCAAAGAAGGATTTTTCAATATAGTAAATGTTCCGTTATGTATGAACTTTGCGCTTCGGTACTTGACATATTTATTGTACAGATAAGTATCGCACTATTTACACTGTGTTGTAATATGATACAGATCGACTGGAAATTATCCATAATGAGGTTGAAAAGCAATATAAAATATTCATTAAAGTGCTTCAGACCAAATGGTCGTCGCTATCTATTGATTCGACTAGACATATATATATATGTCATTGTCAGTCAAGCTTGAACGAACCAACGATATTAAATGGAAGTATTATTGTAGAGGATGACGTGACAATTCTTACAGAACCGAGACACGACACATCGATGGAACAGGCCGGTCGTATTCGCTCCAGGTGTATATATTGGCGTAGCTGTAATTTAGGCCATTTAATTTATATTTCTAATTTTGTTTATAAATGACGAGTTTAAACTGAAACCTTAGACAGATTAGGAGCGCACATGGATTTTATACATCCAGAGAGCCAGAGTGAATGTACAAGAGTATGCGAGTTGTGCACGGAATGAATAAGGTCTAGTGAAGTCGTAATCTTCAATATGACGATGCAACAGCGATTTGCGCAACCCGGTACATGTTACTGAGAAGTCAATATGTGTCAAGAAGCTACTAGCTTATAGAAGACCAGTGATCATATATATCCGTTAAATACTGGGGCAGGTTACCGGGAGGCGCGTGGTTGCAGGAGTTCGGTAAGTGCATTAACATACACATTTCAATTTATAATCTAGTTAAGCAAAATATCTTTAATATATCACAACACAATATGATATCAAAAGAAAGAAACACCTTTACCAAATATGTCAGAATACAGGAGGTATCATTTCATTTCTAGGCCTTCTTATATATGTTGTGCCCAAGAATCCATACAAAAACGTTTGGAGTGTTTCGGGACATGTCGACTATATATTATAAGACCTGTATTTTTCAATCCTATCCTCGTTAACCGTGCTATTTACGTTTTTATTGGTGTCACACTCCATTGAACGTAAAGCTCTAGTTACTGTTTCAATTGACGTTTCATAGAAGTATGTAAAATATGACTTTGTACATGTACATATTTATACACATTCAAATTTCTAACATTGAAACGAGGCATTATTCTTAAATGGAACGCTTTTATAATCATGTTTATACGTCTCTGGTTCTTCCATTTCTTAGAAATAGATACAGTCCAATGACACATTTCAGCAGCCGAAAATTACAATGCAGCTTAACTTATGATTTTTATATATCGGAAATCGTCAGTATTATCGCTTAATTAGATTGCTTTTTCTAAGTCCGTGGTATTATATAACTGATTAAAAGTTGACAACTCAAATAGATTTGCGTCAAAATTTGTCCGTACACATATTTGTAGATAAATAATTTAACATCCCTTGACATAGTCTACACTACCTATACATTATGTACTGCCGAGACAGGCTTCAGTGACTACAATACACAACAGGTACGCAATGCTACAGACGTATATATATATATGTGTCGCTACCCGTTGACAACCCCATGTGTATTTACTCCAAGTTGTGGGCTATTTATATTTCACACAGGAATACCCAAGTGACAGTGTAGTTTGATTGCACGAGGCGAGAAACCGGACATATTGATCATTAGAATCTAATAAGCAGACGCAAAAGGAAACAAGATGAATTGTGGGTCAAGTCGTCTACTAAGGACGCACGGGGCCACCGTATACCAACAACGGCACAAAGATGTACCGACAGTATCTCGCCCAGCTGCCCTGTAACATGGGGTCGGGAGGAAGCAAGAAACCCGTGAAGGGGGCCCCAAACGGAGGGTACAGGTAGGTACCGCTATCTCTATCAGGTGCCGAATAGGTCATTATTACACGTGTATTATGTTTACCGACAATCAAAACGAGATAGTGACAGTTGATCTTCCTTGGTTAGTGTAGGTAAGGAAAGTTAGGGGTACACGGAGGGTAATTAAAGACCTTTTTTTTTGTTTATATATTAGTGATTAGTATTATAAATGGGTTTTTTTATTTTATATAAAAATAATATAAATGAAGTGGATTAATTTAATGACAGATAAGGATCCTATATATATACTTTCATTTTGGTCCAATTTATCAAAAGTTGCCCAACATCATTTCTTAAAAAGAGAGAATAAGGGTATCTTCTACCATGTACCTCACCATGCATCTGGTAAATCAAAAGTTACTTAAACATGCTAGATTAATGTCTTTTTACCTTTTCATCATATTTGCCTCATCATTTGACATTTTTTTTTTATGATTTTATAATTATGTTATCTCAAACCTTACCATGAATCATAATAACTTGTCTTTCTTACATTAGCGACAGTATTGTGTCTAAATTGGTGAAAACAGGGATTGGTAAAAACAGGGTTTCATTGATTTTAGCCTATTTCAGCACATCCTCTTTACTCCAGGGATATGTTCACTTTTCCTACATTTGTGCCAATAACTCAAAAATAACAACACCATCACATCAATAAATTGCACCGGGGCGACCACGCTGCATACTGAGTTTATTTTACAAAGTTCATCTATAAACATCTCAAATTCACACAATGACATCGTTCTTCCAATAAGCAGACCTCGGGAGACTTGACTAAAATACTTTAAAAAGCCTCTAAGGTGAAAATATGTTACCCTCACTTGGCTGATACCTGTCCTTTGAAGATTACAGAGGAGCAACACCTATAACTTCAAAGCCAGTCAATTTTACTGTTAAGGGATTCTTTTTGTGTGATTACATGAGTTTTTACTGTAATCAAACTGGTCTTCTTGTCTCATTCACAAGGTGGCTGACACACACAGCCTTCAATTTTGTCATGCCATATTCCAGGGGTGCAGAGAATGTAAGTGGGCGAGACCCCTGGAGTATTGAGGATGATTTTGGTAAAGATAGCTTATATCACAGTGTAGATTTCATGTTTTTGAAATTGATAAAATTATTTTTCAACAGACATTGAAATAAGCTTTGATGTTAAAAGCAGTAAGATAAATTTGATAGCCCTTATATAATTAATTGTGTTGACAGGTTCTTACCTGTAGAGCAAGCAATCAAGAGCTGTACAGGTAGAACCTGTCAACACAATTAGGGCTTATCTTATTTATTTTACTACTTTTAACATCAGATTCAGATTCTCTATTTCCTGGTGTTTTACAACACACTGGAGAAAAGACAGAACATAAACAGTTTTTACAGAACAATACAATGTTATACAGTGTGATAGTACAACATTACACAATGTTTTACATCAAAACTTCTAAAATCCTACTATAAATGTCCATGATTTATAAATGCTAGAGCTTATTTCAAAGTCTGTTAATAAGTAATCCTAACAATTTCCTAAACATGAAATATCACTAAAAAATCAAATTACATACTGGATATTATCACGCACAGGAGGGGTCTCTAATGTGGCAGGAAACTGGAGTGCCTGGAGAAAACCTACGTGGTCAGACAGGTGACCCCATACCTTAATTTCCTCGTTTGATCAGGTCGTATATGTTACATAGTTCAGATGTAGGTTCGCTTGATGACCTGTGCGTCATTCATCATACGTGTGTTGAGTACCACTCTGTATATTGTGTACACCGAAAGCTGTGACGTCAAGCCCTTGAATACCATCGGCCTTGAGTTCACAGGACCAGGGTACAAATCCATATATATGACATCAAGTTTCTTAGTACTTCCCTTTATATTATATATATATATAATCTTCATGTATGCATATTTGCATAACCTCACACACTCTTGCCTAAGTGTAAGTCAACAATGGAAATCAAACTTGATATTTGAACTAGGAACTAATTAAATGTTAGATGAGCTTTGTTTATCCTGACTGCCAGAAAATGCCGTAAAGGTGAGCCTTATACTGGATATATATAATATTGGCGAACTGGAGTATCCCTTTTCATCCTAAAGTTCACGAAGAATGTAACCAGTGTTACTGTACAATACTAAAATATTCCAGGCTGGGGTACGGGTTTGAATCGTAGTTATAGGTAATAACTTGATTAATCAAAACGGCTGAAAAAACTTGAAATATCTGTAAAACATGTACATTGTTATATCTGAGGCACTCTTGGAGAAGTTAACTTTAATATTCTTATTTTTGAAGCATTGGAACTTGTAATTTCTCAGGTGTTCTAAGTTGTAATACCTTTGTTAGTCTTTGAGCAGTAGACAGGCGCGTAGCTAGCCCCTATACCATGTGTAAGCCCCCGACATGGGGTTGCCGAAGGCAGCCCCCCTCCCCACCGAAGCGCGTACGCGAGCAGGGGGAGGGTACGGGAGTGGGTCTTCCCCCTCCCGTAAGGGGGTTCTGGGGGGTCTCCCCCATGAAAATTTTGTTTTCTAGAACGTCTCAGGAGCCATTTCCCACGTCCTGATGTCTGAGATAATGATATGTTGTAAACTATAATATAGTTTTAAAAAGGGGCCGGACTGGCCCCGGTCTCTCCTACACATGATATAATACATGTGTAGGGGGGACCGGGGCAAACACGGCCCATTTTTCTTTTTTCAAGACGTTATGGAAGGCATGTACTATACTGTTGAAATGCATATTTATATATGTCATTTAGATAAGAAATGTATTGTCTTTCATAAACTAATAACCAAATCGTAAACAAGACCATATTTTTGAAATTATTGGACTTTTTAGGTCGAGAGAGTTGGGGGCCGGACGAGCCCCGCCCTGAGGCAAATCCGGCCCCTACCAGGGCAAGTATGGCATGAAGGACAGAGAAGACAATTTACTAATAAGTGTATGGAGTTTCATTCAATTCTGTTGGAAAATAAGTCCAGAACAAATCAGTGAATATAAAGAAAAAAATACTTGATTTTTGCGTCGTAAAAATATTATTTTTGTGGTCAATTGGGTGACGTTATCAATAGTGACGTCACTTGGCACAGTAACAGTAGCATTCGGGGTGGCCGAATGTGCCCCGGCAAAAGGGGCCGAACGTGCCCCAAATTGATATTTTCATAAAAAAAACCATTGATTGTCTGTGTCCACTGTGCCATACTCGGAGTCGTTTGCCCCAGGCGTGAGTTTCTCAATTTACTCAATCGAGCAGTTTAGTTCCGCCTCGAACTGTCCATTAATGCAATGGACATTTCTAAACTTCATACATTTTTGTACTAACTATTAACAATGTATCATATCTGAGGACTTACATATGTATACTATATATTCAAAACTTAAACTCCACTTTATAGTATCAGCAAGAAAAAATAACGTCATGAAAATCTATACTTGTCAAAATCATGTGCAAGCCCGGGCTTATTGGCTTACATGGTAGCTATGCGCCTGGTAGAGTGTGTAACGTATCCTTGTTACTCTTGAAACTGGAGATTCTTGGAGCCTGGTATATCTGAGGCCATCTTGTTTAATTATTAATAGTACATTGTTATGTATAGCCATTAGATCTAAATAACCTTACATTTGTCAAACAAAAAACATTTTTTGCCACCTGTAAAATCAATGTCACCCTGGTAAAATACTAACCGTTTCCTACCGCGAAAGACTATAAACCAGAGGTCCCTGGTTCGACTCCTAGCGGAGACATTGAAAAAATAATGACCTCTGTCACATCAATATTTCGTTTGTATGATTGATAAAAACCTGAACTCTTTGGTCTTGTCACACTCCAACAGGCAATGTCATTTGTTTCCCTTTCACAATTTTCTGTTGTGTGTAATGGTCTATTGTCAGAATTCTGTGATTAAGTCAGTACTTACAATAGTTAAAATTATTTTTTGTGGTATGAAAATGACATTTATAAATTCAAAATTCTTATTTTTCTGTGTCAAGTAAAATTCAGCTTGTGCAGTGGTGGTTTTGACAAGTACATACTTAACATACATCTAGCATATGCTCTAGAGTAGTTTTTTATATCAATTTAAATTTTAGAGGTTTTGAACAAAATTATTTTACAGGCAGCATGACAGAACGCCAAAAACATCCACAAACCGACCACCTCGTGTCCCTGTGGTTGTGAAAGAATGGTCACCTCCAGGCCCTGTAGTTAATAAAGACCGTTCATCTTGTGCACCTTTAGTAGTTAAAGAAAAATCGCCTCGCGCACCCGTAGTTAATAAGTTGCCAAGCAAGTCGTTAGTCGTTAATGATAAATCACTAAGAGTACCTGGGGTCACTAAGGACAGTTCACTTCGAGTACCTGTTGCTAAGGAAAGTTCACCTCGAGTACCTGCAGTTGCGAAGGAAACTTCACCTCGAGTACCGGTTGTTAAGAACACTTCATTTCGAGTACCTGAGTTTCTTCAGGACAGTTCACCACAAGTACCTGTCGTTGCTAAGGACAGTTCACTGCGAGAACCTGTTGTTGCTAAGGACAGATCACCGGGATTGCCAGTGGTTGTTAAAGACAGGGTACCTGCTATACCTACATTCAATGTAGACAGGGCGCCACCTGAACTTTTGTTCCATAGAGACAGGTTAATCATCGGCACATTTTAATCTCTTATATTACGATTATATACCTTTTTAAAACTGATGTCATTTATGAACTCTAAACATTATTGAAAGATTGAACTGCCTCCTTTTTCAGACATGCCCATTTCGGCCATCTCCTGTTAACAAAATACAGTAATTTATACACTTATATCCAATACTACAGTTTTCTTGCAATCTGTCAAGACGGTTTTCCTGTGTTTTGCTAGAAAAAAAATAACAATTTTGGAATTCTTCCTTGGAATATGTCTTTAATGTCGCCTTTACAGCCATAGACACAACCTCCGTTTTCATAACTTAAAAATGCCCATTCTGACAATTTTTCAATCTCCCTGGGCCCTAATTATGGCAAATATGGTACTAAGAATTGATCAGGTTTTTTTCTTTTTGATTATCTCGGTCATCAATTGTATGACAAGTGCTTAATATGCATAGAGAAATTACAAATGGATATATCTGAAGATGGAGCTGCCCATCCGGTCCTACTTATTTTGGTTATTTATTACACATAGCTTTCCTAGTTTTCCTAAAGCACTATTTATATTTCAGGTTTAGTGAGGAGAGTTTTGATAGAATTTTCAATTGTGAGGCTTCATTCTTCCCAAAACATGTATCATTCACTGCTTTAGAGAAACTTATGCAAAACCCAGGAAATGTAATGTCTGTTTTATATTATTTGTTATAATACTTTTTATTCATTGTAGATTTCTGTTGTTAAAATACAAATCTTATATTTCATATTCTCTGTGATGTTGAAATATAGTAAGAATTACCTAGGCCTATTGTGGCAATCTAGAAAATATATATTATTGCCCAATCATCTACATAAATTATTAATAGTCATTTTTTACTGTTTCTGGCTTTTTGTCCAATTTTGGCTGTAGAGGTGAAACAGTCAAAACTGTTTTCCCAGTAAGAGCGAACTGTTACCTGGCTATTATTCGATGCACAGAAATGCCCCCTTGAGAGCTCCGTTCAAGCGTTTATTTGACCTTTCGTTATTTTTAAACAAATTATCAACATTCCATTGAGCATTGATACTAAGATGTATTTGGTAATAAAAACAATTGTTTCAATACTATTTGGCGGCCTCGAACTAACAGTCTCCAGGGCTTCCCCCTACCTCGGGATGATAGTTTTGACTGTTCCCCAAATAGCCATGAACAATGTATATTGTTTCACTGACAATCTGCATGGCTAAGTAAATGAAAACGTTTTACTCTATAGGCAGTATTTTGAAGGCAAATGAAACAACATATTCAAATGAACATGAAAATCAATTAGCCCTCTATCATCATTTCTAATAGTAATAAATGTTTTAAGAACAAGTAAAAATTGTGTAAAATTTAGGATCCTTGGTTTTCAGTATTATATACAGTAAAACCTTGTTATACCGCCACCTTCTGTCCTCTGTGATTTTGGCAGTAAAACGAGTTTGGCCATATATTGGGTTTGCAGTTTTAAACCCAAGTGTTCACAGCAAAATGATCTTATACTTTTTTTTTTTTTTTTTTACTTCAGAATACTTTTTCTTTTCAAAATTGTAATTTAATGTATCAAACTGTTGAGCGTGCAAAACATACAGGCGAGTACCTGGTCAGTTGTCAGTCAAGTGTAACAATACAATGTACACACGTACGTAACATTCCTGTCATTGGGATATACCTGTACTCGACTCAAATTGGTGGTATTAAACGAGGTCAATATAGTGTGATTTTAACCTTTTGAGAATATGATGGCAGTTTGGCGGTTTAACAGGTGGCATTAGGACGAGGTTTTTACTGTGTATGTGTTTGTTAAGCACAAGTCTTAAATTTACTTTTATTTGTTGACCTCTCAGCACTGTACTGTTTGGTACTACTGTGACATTGCATTCAATATTTCTTCTGCATGACATAATCAACTCCTATCAAATTTGTTTTGTTTAAATTCTCTTTAAAAATAATTCAGTTTGATTTATTTCGATCAATACATCTTGGCAATAATTACTGTACAATGTTTTAATAAATTTAAAGTATAAATTCCACAAATTGATGCGAATATAAATAAAGATTTAAGTTAACTTTTGTTTAAATTTATTGCATGAAATAAAAACAAAACAAAAGAAAAAAACATTTTGATATTATTCTGTACATTCCTGGAATCTACACCTCGTCTATGTTTGTTGTGTAGTGCCCCTCCTGGTGGTGGTAATGTCGCCGGGACCACACCTGATGGTAAACGTGAGATGACAGAAGAAGAAAAGGCAAAGAGACAGAAACTTTTGGACGATTACAAAGCTTTAGAGGAAAAGATTAAGGAAACCATGAAGCTGTTGACAGTTAGGGAAAAAACGCGAGTAAACATGAAGAGGATAACGGACTCTGAACCAATCAGCCCGATTCTACAAGGGGACATTTCTGTTGACGTACCAACCACTGCAAAAATTGTCAGGATCTTCACCAGTAGTACATTTACAGGTGAGTTTCACTTTTGTTACCTCCTCCCTAAAGCCCCATCCCATCTCCCCTCCCCACCCCACCCCCAAAAATATAGTTTATTAGATCAAATTGTAATTTAACAGCCAAAGATATAAAAGGGGAAATACTGCCTCACTGGCTAGCTAGCTTTTCCAGTGATGCGGTATAACCCCTGGGACTTGTTCACTAGTTCAGCAACTTTGGGTGTGGTCTTTGGCTGGATGAGTGTCTGCCAATCCGTTACATTTGGTGGCAGCTGTGGGATATTATAGTACCTTGTAAGGCTAGTTCCACATTGGTACACTGGGAGAAGCCTAAGGATTCCCTAGGCCAAGGTATTAAACGAGACTCATTGAAGAGGGGAATAGTGTAACAGCCAATGATGATTAAGAGGAAGAAATACTGCCTCACTGGCAAGCTAGTTTTTCCAGCGACATAAACCCTAGCACTTGCTCAATAGTTTCACAACATGGAGTGTGGTCAGTGGCTGGATGGGTGCCCGCCTGCATATTACAAAATAATGAAAAAATTATGATTGTTAAAAAAACATTCACCTTGCCAAAAATTCTTGATCTTGCAAGTTGTATTGTACCTTGTATTTACCCGTCAAAATGATTTATAATACTTTTGGTTCCATGGAGAATTGAGGTTCAGATACATACTGTTTATTCCATTGAAAATCTGTTAAACTATTCTGTGTCATGTTTATATGTAGCTTATCATTTCTGTTTGTCCTGATGAGTGTCTGTTAAGACAGGTGCAATGTATCTGGAATATTCCTTTAGAGATTCATACTATAATAAAGTCATTTTTTTTTTAAATGCTCAGATGACTTCTTCTGAAGAACCAAAAAAATCTAGAGTCTTGATATTTGGCCAGTAGCTTTCTGTCGAGATTGTGAAACTTTCAAGGTCATAGAGGTCAAATATCACAAAATGCTTAAATGAATTCTTCTGAATTACAAAGATGCCTTATGTGAAGTGCTAGCTATCGTTTTACACAAATTACATGTTCAAGGCACTTAGGGGTCAAATATTTTAAAATGTTAAAACAATTTCTTTTGAATTACCTAGAGGCCTAGGCAATGATTTTTGTTCAGTATCATGTTAGAATGAAGGGGCAATGAAGTTTATTTAAATAAATCATGATCACCTTGACCTATACTTTCAAAGTCACAGGGCCAAACCTGTGAATACATTTAATCAACTTCTTCTCAATAACTTCAAAGCCTAGGATTATTGTATTTAGAAAGCAGCATTTTTTCCAAGTTTGTCCTGATAATGGACCCTGCCCAACTGTGGTCACAGTGTATGAACAAACTTTTTATGGTTGCTTCTTCAGGTCCTTAAGGCTAAACGAAGAAACAATACTATTGGTATTATAAAATGATCAAATTTGAAGATGACTATTTTAAAATAAGATAAAATCTTTCAACAAATATGCTTTAAGTATAAGATTCTTGCTGTCAATCTTTTAAAAAAGAATTTAACTTTGACCCATTTTGAATGCCACATACAGATATGACATGCATTTGCTGAAGTCTTTGAACAACCATTGTAGGCTACAGGCCCATGGGACTCTTGTTTGCAGATATTATGAAAAGATGGTTTGAAAAGTTTGAGTCGATATTGTACAAAGTTTTGACAATTAACTGGGTCCAATTCTACAGTCTAAATTTTCTACTTTTAAGTTTAAAGAACAGCTGATCTCTAAGTCTGTTTGTCTCTGTCCTGTGTTAGCAAACATTGGATTACAAGTCTTAGTAAACAGTCGTTATTTAAAGTGTTTATACAGTAGAAAAACAAAATAAAAAAAAGTTTACAGTGAGTTATTTTGAGACCTATGAAAGATCCGCTGAATTACTAAAAAATTGAAAAAAAAAAATTCTGCACAAGAAAATTGTCCAGGTACCTAGTTTATCACCTATATATATATCCAAATGACACAAAACAATTGTTTCATGTTTGATGAAGAAAAGTCCCAAAAATTAGAAAATATATATTCTTCATTTTTTATTTATTTGAAAAAAAAGGTATAGCTTCTAGCATATAGATTAATTATGTATGACAAGAGGAATTAAAGAAAATCTTACATTTTCTTTCAAACATCACATTGAAATAGAGAGGTTTTTTTAATGTAATTTCAGATCTGCTTTGATATGTTATTTAAAAACAATTGATACAGGGAAAAAATACTGTAACTTTTAAACAACCGTTTTAAAAATGTATCATTCATGTAACAACTGTTTTAACATTGTGCCATTAATGTAACAACTGTTTTAACGTTTTACTATTAATGTAACAACTGTTTTAAAATGTGTCATTGATATATTGATAATCGTTTTACCATCTAGTACCTTAGCCCTTGACTTTCTTTGGAAGTTTTGTTAGCCAAAAAATAAAGAATAAAGAAGATTATTGAAAGATTCTTTCACTTAACAACAACTGTTTTATTTCTTGTCATTTGATGAATTTTAAGCTCTGAAAATGAAGATTTATGAATTTACTTATTCAAATACATGTAATGGACATTTTAGATGAGTATTTAAAGTTAGTGGTAAGCTATGAAGACTTAAAATATCTGCCAATTGTCAGACTAAATAAGCCCTGTTGATCTACAAGGAATTCTAGACCAAGGTGAAGCTTTAAATGTCCCTGTAAACCATTGATTACCTTTGTATTACATGCCAATATGTCAACAAAACAACGGTATGTTATTTTAGCATTGACCTAAACTTGATACCACACACATATACATAGATCTTTAATCTTTGTCTACACAAACGAAGTTTCATGTCAAATAAACTTCTCCATTTACACATGTACAACTTAAGACTTGTTCTGGTTATCATGTCAAGATGTTAGAATGACTTTAAAGATAAAATATCACGTCCTGATTACCTGCCCGATTTTGTTCTTGCCTGTGACGATTATTGTGAAGACAGACATAGAACTCATTTTGAGCTGATATCAGTGTTATTGTGATCAACTCAATTTATTTCCTTTAGATCTATATCTCATAAAACATAAATGCTACAGTTTTAAGTACCAAGCCTGGAACATAGATGTAAAAATAGAATTTATTAGACTCATACAACCAGACACTTTGTACATGGATGAGCTGGATTGCAGCCTCAGTCGTTGTTCCATTATTCCTTTGTTGTTGTTTTTTTCAGCAAGTTTTAGTACAGTGCCATAGTGTGTATTTGATCTGTAGCTTGTTGGTGATGGAGGACTGTTAGAAATATCCAAAAGAATGATCTTGATCAAATCTCATAGGATCAAATATGTGAAAGTTAAATAAGCCGTTGATATTTAATAATCAGTAGCAGACTAGGTTAAAGGGCTACTAAGTTTGTTTAAATGGATGACCTTGACTTATATTTAAGGTCACAGTGGTCAAATATGTTTGAAACTTATAAATGACTTCTGAATAACAAAAAGTCGCAGGGTGATGTTATTTGGCCCATCACATTATGTGATAAAGGGCTACCAAGTTTGTTCAAATGAATGACCTTGACATTTATTGAAGGTCATAGGGATCAAATATGTTCAAAATCTTTAAACAACTTCTTTTGAATAACCAAAATGCCCAGGGTAAGGATATTTGGCCAGTAGCATGCTGGGATAAAGGGCTACCAATTTTTTCAATCAAATGACTTTCACCCGTATTCAAGGTCACAGGGGTCAAATATGTTAAAAACATTAAACAATTTTCCTGAATAACCAAAATGCCCAGGGTGATGATATTTGACCAGTAGCATGCTGAGAAAGAGGGCTACCAAGTTTGTTTAAATGAATGACCTTGACTTATATTTAAGGTCACAGGGGTCAAATATGTTAAAATCTTTTAAACAACTTCTTATGAATAATCGTAAGGCCTAGAATGTTGATATCCGGTCAGTATTATGCTTGGATCAAGGGCTACCAAGTTTGTTTAAATGAATGACCTTGACTTATATTTAAGGTCACAGGGGTCAAATATGTTAAAATCTTTTAAACAACTTCTCCTGAATAATCGTAAGGCCTAGAATGTTGATATCCGGTCAGTATTATGCTTGGATCAAGGGCTACCAAGTTTGTTAATGACAAGGGACAAATTTGTTTAAAATCTTTAAACGACCTCTTCTGAATAATCATGAGTCTCAGAATGTTGATATTTAGCCAGTAGCATGCTTGGATGAAGGGCTATCAAGTTTTTTCATGTGAATGACCTTGGCTCACTTTCAAGGTCGCATTTGGTCAAATATGTATAAACATTTAAATTTCTTAATTTTAATAAACAAAAGGATAGGGTGGTGATATTTTGCAAGTTACATCCTGAGATGAAGGGCTATAAAATCTGTTCAACATAATGACCTTGTTCGACTTTCAAGGTCAAAGGGGTGGAATGTTTTAAAATCTTTTAACAGGGTCTTTTGAATGACTTTTAATCATAAATACTAATATTTTGCCTGAAGCTTTGTTTTAGATCACTTTTAAGGTTACAAGTGTGAGATTTATACCAGGTGAGCGATGCAGGCCTATTGGGCCTCTTAGAAAGTAATAAAGACTCATGCATGCATGGACCTCTTGCTGTTCTTTAATACAGATTTCCCCGCCCTAGCACTGTAATAACCAGATCCAAAATCCATGACGGACACCGTTCTTAACTTCTGATTGGCTTATATTTAAACAACTATTTCTTTAATTTGTTCTCTTGGTAGAACTTTGTTACCAAATTGTATTCAATGGATAGTCCTCTTGGTGAATAGCACATGATATTATACCGATCTCAAAGTCCAAAATGGCTGATATGGCTTCTGATTGGCCGAGATCTTTTGGGCAATAACTTCTGTTCTCTTGGTCCTACTTTGAAATAACACATTTTCAGGGGGTTGTTGTGTTCTGTATTCAAAGAACTCCCAGGATGGCTGACATTTTGTAAATCACGTTTTTTTAATTTTCGTCTCATAGAGGGTTTACATGCATGACCTTCATAAGGGTTGATGAGATTCAGAGCAGATACTATAGGGTGATACTAAACACCTGTTAAGTAATATAAACAAAATGACCTTACATTATAGGGATGTATATTTCATGGGTGCTCTTCATCAACAAATTCATGTACCAACGAAATGGTGTATTTTAGGGAAACCACCAAATTTTGACCCAACTATAATATCTGATATCACAGTATTTTGTTGAAGTGGTAAATACTATTTCTTTGATTATATACATGTGTAACAAATATTAAATACATACTCCAAAATACAAGATGATTGCCTTGGCCCTGCTTTGCAGTTAACGGGGATATGTCTGGTCAATGAAGCACCTAACGGACCCTTCTGAGGAAATACAGAGTGAATTAGCATGTAAAGACATGAAATTGTCTCTGGTATTATATTGCACCCACCATATATAACATTTGTTAAAACGTGTCAGGTTAACCCCTATCCAGGTGTCCCTGTCAATTGTGTCATCCAATTTTGAATATACATTAAAACCCCAAATGTTAATAATTTAATCAGTATGACATTAAACAAAATTGGCTCATCCTCATGTGATCATCACCTTATAAAATATTCATATATGTGTATAGATTTGTTAGAAACCAATAGATCTATATATACTCTAGGTACACTTCCAACTTCAATTTAAATCACTTATCAAACACGAAGATTTATTGAACGTGACACACAAAAAGAGGACAACGCAGGGTTTACGAGGCTAATAAGTATCAGCAAACCGGAGATTTCACACATTTCATTTCATGACTTCAAAGATAAAAGGCTGTATATGAAAATGTTGAGGGCACATTAAACTCTAATGTTAAACTTAATGCTTTGTCAACTTAAGTGTTGCTAATACAAACATTGAAATTCGATTTTATCTGGTACCTGTCTTACAGGGATCAAGTTCACATCATCAGACAAAACAGGTGTTCATGTAGTTATATTTTTTTTGTATATCATATTCTTCAAGGAACTTAAATGTTTATCTTGTCAGTAAACTAACAAAACTTTCAATGCCTTGGCTCTGTACTCTGTGATTAACTCATTCACCCCTTTCATCAGAACTCTCCGGTATTCTAGCCTTTGTACTGGTATCTTGGGAATGTCACACCTATATCAAATTCACAATCTAATAATAAATTAATGTATATTGCCTCAATCTATTTAAGTTGAAATTTAACACATAAGAGCATTTTAGCAATTACAAGATAGGAAGGTCAATAGCCTTGTTACCTGTGGAGAACCTGTTGGACAGAGAAATGTCAATACATTTTGGAGCGCTATCTTATTGTGTTCGAAATTTGTAAAAAATCTGCTATAGAATTTGGACAGTATAAAAAATCAAATTTTTCTTAATCCACACTCAGTACACAGTCATAATAAAATAGACATCTCTTTAAAGTGCCTTGTCTATTTATCAGGTGAACTTACTAACCAAACGAACAACAATACTAATTAAATTTCAATGCCCTATTTTTTGTGGAATTCATTATACATGTCAAATTAATAATAAAAATAATAATTATAATAATTTGAGGTTCTTATATACCCCTTTATCACAACCTAGTTCGTAGGTCGTCTCAAAGCGGTTCACAAATTATTATCCGTGGTTATAGGGCCTTTGCAACCAGCCAATACCTTTCTCAACTCCCTGGGGAGCATACACTGCCGGAGCTGCCATTTCGGTGCTAACAGCTAGCATTCAACAATTCCAGCACTGCTCAACCACATACTCATTTACAGCTGAGTAGACTGGAACAAGCAGAGTAAAGTATCTTGCTCAAAGATACAACACAGTGCCGTGCCGTGCCGTGACTCGAACTGAAAACCCTTCAGTCACGAGCTCGGTGCCTACCACTAGACTACCGTGCTTCCATAAATTCTACTCTGTAATTTGAAGTTTCCTTCTGTCTCCTTTCTTGACTATTGCAATTATGTTTACACATTTCAAATCTACTGGTAGTTTCCCCATATTAATTGGCATTTGAAATACGATTCATAAAGGTCAAGAATGACATTTAGGATGTCACAAAACACAAGTTTCGGAATTTTTTTCTCCCATAACATTCACATTTTATCTGGAAAACCACATGTTCCAATCGGGGAAACAATTGTCATGAATCATGACATCACAATGGTAGGTGATCTTGCAAAGCATTGTTACTAGAAGATTAACTAATGAAAGAACGTCCAGGGTGTTACCCATTAACAACTCCTAGGAAGTTTATCCAATGAATCATGAAGAAACTTATAGTGGTTGTTTTTCAAAAAATGATTTCCTATGTACAGTGCCGTGCCAAAAGTGAAGATAATTTTCACGACGTCATTTTACTTCCGGGTTACTTATTTTGGTTAAAGGGGCATTTCTCTTAAAGTATGTAAGGGTTATGCCCCTTCTTCTACACATTTACTCAAGCGATGCTATGCAAAGGGTCATATGTCTACGTTAGTGATTGGTCGTCTGCTTTGTTTATATTTCGTACAGTTTTGAGAATGGCACCAAAACATAAAGAATTGTTATTGTCGGAGAAAATTGCCATTGCAGCATTGCATAAAGCTAGTGTGAAAGGACCTGATATAGCACGGCAAACGGGATATCCACTCCCAACTATTTATAGAGTTTTAAATCGTTTAATAGATCGAGGGTGTTTGTACATTGTTTTAATGTTTAATTTAGATACCATGCATGAGAGGAATGTTTGGATGAGCGAGGCTTACCCGCGTGTGAAGACGTTCTGTCAGGAGCTGGGCTATGAGTTCCAGGTGGTAGACATGAGGTGGGGTGTCCGTGACGAGGCTATGGATGACCATAGTACCACGGACCTCTGTCTCAGGGAACTCCAGCTATGTCAGAAACTATCAACGGGGCCCAACTTTGTGGTGAGTATACCTCACTGAGCCTTTACTGGTTGGAAAAGAGTCTGTGTCATGCACAAACTACTCAACTTGCTCCTATTTCCTCGCAAATTTTTACTCTTTTACACTTGTTATTTTTTGGTTGATGTATTCATTTTTGTGAATGTCTATCTTTACAGTGTTGTTTGGCCCTTAATGACTCACATTGTCAATTGGCCGTAAAACAATACCAAAATCAAAACAAAAAACTGGCAGAGTATAATTGAAACGACTTCTGTTCAAAATGGTTCTGTGTAAAAAATATCAACACAGTGCTAATTTGGTGGAGAGTGATGGAAGCTACATGTAGATCTCAAAATGAACAAGGACCTTTTGGAAATATATATTTTTTTTTCAAAAGATTTCCACTTGGTAGTATTTGACTTGACTCTTCTAAGCATAGTAAATGCATATGGAGGCCATTATCAAATGCTGGCATATGATTTTAGTTAGTCTGTTCAATGCGATGGTACCTACATGTACAAGTTACACACCTGAACACACTTTTTTCTTTTAAATAGACTCTCCTGTCACACAAATATGGGTATAGGTCTCTAACAAGGGAGATCGATGCGGAAGAATTTGAAAAGATATTTGCCGTCATTGAATCAACTGAAGCCAAAGAATTATTGCAAAAGTAAGTAAGGGAGATAACCTTCTGCAGAATGAAATAGGATGGGTGTCAAACTTTCAGATCAGGAAAGGTGATTTCTATTGCAGAATGGAGTAAGGGAGAATATTTTTGATGTTAAAGCTGACAGTGCAAGTGTACTTCTTTAGAAACGATAGTCAGAAGAGATGTGGAAGATCTCAAAACCAGAAAAAAAAACACCTTTTTAAACAAAAAATCTCAATTGAAAGCTTTTTGACTTGCACTGTCAGCTTTAAGTTGAACATAGCTTTTGCCGCAGTAATAAAGGGAGATTATAAGATAATATTGCAGATCTGTATTATTTGAAGCAATATTATTATTTGCCAGAGAGAAGAGACATTCCAAAACAAAGCTATTTCCCTGATAAAAAGTTTGACAATATCTTTATAAGGTATAGCTATATCGTTTGTGCAATATTGAAACTTTGGAATTGTTTGGGAAGCTCTGCTAATATATTTTACTGTACATTTATTCAATTAAGAAATAGCAATTGACCTTGACAATTCTTTAATGGGGTTTTGGTTTATATAGGGCTGCAGTTACTTAATAGTGAGATCCATTTTGATTTTCTCCAAAAACATAATGTTATTATAAGTTGTCATTATCACAACATAAATAAAATAAATCTAAAGTTGTAAGCTGCTGCGTACACAAAGTGATGTGAAGACGTTCTGGTTTACAGGTGGTATCAGAAAGACAGCAATGGTGTTCCCCCTATGTACCTGCTGTCCCCCATCAGCAAACACATTCCAGACTTTCTCAGCAGCGACAAAGATGCCAGCAGGGATGCAAAATCAAAATGGTGGCAGGAGAGTGATGTCATGCAGGAGGCATTGGAGTCGTCAGCAGAACAGGCCCTGGGGGCGGAGGCGGCCAAGAAACACATTATATCAGGTAAAGCAGGACAGCAAGTGTATATACTTCATTGTTAGTATTTTTCATGAGGGAATCTAATTTTGCTGTATTCGTGGTCATCATAGATTGTGTGAAATTAAATACCCAGCGAATAAGTTTTCTGTCAATAAAAAATTTATGCTGATATACAGACTTACAAACAAAGTATAATAAACATGATTACCCTGTTTTCTGTCAAAACCCTGTGGACCAAACTTCAGCCAGCTGTCCAGCCCATGAAAGTGTCCATACCAATTATATTTCAAACCTTATCCTACAAGGGAACCGTGTTCTAAATTAATTTTATTGAAAGGTTTACTCATTTGTTAATTTGGTGTGTCCATAATTCGACGGTTGTCCCAAGCTCATCTGACTTGGGTGATATATAGACTGAGTGTACCTAAAGGGGGCTTTCACTCCTGTGTAATATTCGTATAACACATTAAATCAATTTTGGCTTTAAATTCTAGGGGAATTCACCCCCAATCTCAACATAGTTTTATATTAGTGTGGGGATGCGGCTTCTCTTTTATCACAGGAGTCTAGCTGTTCTCATCACGGCTTCTCTAGGGGTGTTCACAACCAGAGTCTAGTCGCTTCTCTGGAGACTTTTTCAGAGTCTAGCTGCTCACTTCTCTCGGTTGTGTAGGTGCTTCTCTGGGATGCTGCTTCTCTTGTATCACAGGAGTCTAGCTGCTCTCATCACAGCTTCTCTTGGGGTGTTCACAACCAGAGTCTAGTCGCTTCTCTGAAGACATTTTCAGAGTCTAGCTGCTTCTCTCAATACCCCCGGAGTCTAGCTTATTGAAAAATAGTAGCATAAATATATGGTAGTAAAATTGTTGGAGTGAGTAGCCCCTGATGTGCCAAATGTATTACTGTATGTAAATATGTTGCTAACAAGAGTAATAAACAGGTTAACTGTTTCCTTTGTGTTAGTTGTATATAAAATGATAATTTGATATTTAATATATTAAATTATAGTTTGTATACAACGATGTAGCCAGCTCCTCTTTTGTTTTAGTCATTATAATAATATAAGTTGTTTTGTATAGTTTATATCCAACTCATGACGTTTCCCTATTCAGTCATGATCATGGCATGGGTTGTTTGGTTTAATATGTTAATGAAGGTATGGTAATTAGTAGATGAGAAATTGACCAATTGCAGAGCAGTATATTGTTCCCTGTAGGGGTCTCTTAAATGGGTAGCAGCCCCCTTCATCCGGGGAGGCTGCAGTGAACCACGGTTGTTTATGTGTACCCACCCACCATCCCCAGCTACATGCCAAGTTTCATATATGCATATAAGTTCTGCCAATTGTAATGTAGTACTTATATTTTGTTGTTTCCCTGTATTTAGCAGCTGTTCCTTTTCTCATGATTGTATCTTTGTGCAATGTCATTTTTACATATACCATTTATACTTGCCTTTGGCAGGCACTATTGCTCTAATTTAGGTTGTTTGGGCTACTCACTTCAGTTAGGTTATTATATTTCTCGCTTCAGTTCTAATCTAGCTTTAAATTCTAGGGGAATTCACCCCCAATCTCAACATAGTTTTATATTAGTGTGGGGATGCGGCTTCTCTTGTATCACAGGAGTCTAGCTGCTCTCATCATGGCTTCTCTAGGGGGGTTCACAACCAGAGTCTAGTCGCTTCTCTGGAGACATTTTCAGAGTCTAGCTGCTCACTTCTCTGGGTTGTGTAGGTGCCTCTCTGGGATGCGGCTTCTCTGGTATCACAGGAGTCTAGCTGCTCTCATCATGGCTTCTCTAGGGGTGTTCACAACCAGAGTCTAGTCGCTTCTCTGGAGACATTTTCAGAGTCTAGCTGCTCACTTCTCTGGGCTGCATGTGTAGGTGCTTCTCTGAAGACATTTTCAGAGTCTAGCTGCTTCTCTCAATACCCCCAGAGTCTAGCTTATTAAAAAATAGTAGCATAAATATATGGTAGTAAAATTGTTGAAGTGAGTAGCCCCTGATGCGCTAAATGTATTACTGTATGTAAATATGTTGCTAACAAGAGTAATAAACAGGTTAACTGTTTCTTAATTGTGTGTTAGTTGTGTATAAATGACCTCAAAGATTTCACTACTTTGTTATATGTTGTATGCAATTTTATTTTCATGAAATAGTTACCAAAGAGACAAGCAAGAAATATTAGCCATGTTCAATTAGCTAACAGTATTTTGGTCACCAAAACATCTACTGTATACTGCGAATTGTTCCCCCAGCCAATTAAAGTTTCGCTCTTTGCCCGTGAAATCAATTTTTGTCCAGTTTTAATTTTGCCCTTCACATTAAATCACTTTGTTGATTATGCTGTTTTCTTCTATTCTCTGTAATGATAAGTTCGCCTTCATTACAGAGAGCAAAAAAAAGGCGAAAATTTCCCTGTAGACAGGTAGACAGTATTCTATGTTGTATCATAGTGCTAGGAGTCCATGCTTCAAGCCTGTATTCAAGTTTAATCTAGTTTGTTGATCGCTTTGATATTACAGCTAATGCTGCAAAAAGTTTTTATTCAAATCATGTAAATATGTTGTTGTTTTTCAATTAAAAGTGACTGAAAAAGAGATTCAGATGGGACTGTTGTCATTGGATCAAGAGAAGGCCACGAAAAGCTGTCTGTGGTTCAATAGGGTCATAAAGAATATACAGAAGGAAAAAGCTAGCTACCAACTGTCGAGATACATGGGTCAGTAAATGTGTTTTTTTGTTTTTTGTTTTTTTTTTAAATTTTTATTCTTCCCAGCCATTTTTTTAGGTCACCTGAGACAAAGTCTCAAGTGACCTATTGCGATCGCCTTTTGTCCGTCGTCGTCCGTCGTACGTCCGTAAACAATTTACATTTTCGACTTCTTCTCCAAAACCCCTGAACCAATTTCAATGAAATTTTGCAGGGACCTTCCATGGACAAAGGTCAACAAAAATTGGTGCCGGTTTAGTCCTAAGCCCCCATGGCCAGGGGCCAGAGGGGCGGGGCCAAAAAGGGTCAAATTGACTAAAATTTCAAAAATCTTCTTCTCCAAAACCCCTGAGCCAATTTCAATGAAATTTTGCAGAGATCTTCCATGGACAAAGGTCAACAAAAATGGGTGCCGGTTTAGTCCTAAGACCCCATGGCCAGGGGCCAGAGGGGCGGGGCCAAAAAGGGTTGAATTGACTGAAATTTCAAAAACCTTCTTCTCAAGACCCAGATATGGTAGAATCAAATACTCTTCATAGATGGAACGGTCTTAAGGTGCTTTACCCAAATTGTGAATTTCTTGACCCTGGGGTCTCTTGTTTCCCCCTGGGGAGGGGGTAAACTTTACTGTAGTTTATATAGGGAAATCACATTTTGGACCAACATTTGTTTAATTTCCATTGGAAGTAATTCAAATTGGGTTAGCATTATCAGTATTAGTTAGCAGTTTGATAGTATGTACCTATGATCCCTGGCTGACCCCCAGGGACTGATGGGTGGGGCCAAAAAGGGTTGAATTGACTGAAATTTCAAAAACCTTCTTCTCAAGACCCAGATATGGTAGAATCCAATACTCTTCATAGATGGAAGGGTCTTAAGGTGCTTTACCCAAATTGTGAATTTCTTGACCCTGGGGTCTCACATTTTACCCCTGGGGAGGGGGTAAACTTTACTGTAGTTTATATAGGGAAATCACATTTTGGACCAACATTTGTTTAATTTCCATTGGAAGTAATTCAAATTGGGTTAGCATTATCAGTATTAGGTAGCAGTTTGATAATAAGCAAAATTTATTATTGTTTATAATGGCAAATGATACTTTGAATATTACATGTTAATAACTTGATTGGAATTATAACCTTGAATTGACAGTTTGATACTTTGAAAATTTTGAGCCAGCCCTACCTCCAAGGGCTGTAGGGTGGGGCTCAAAGGAGTCAGTGTGCTAGAATTTCTTCATTTTCCTTGTTACGAATCAAAGGTGCTAGTTTCAAATCCTTTTTACTCTGAAATCTGTATGCTAGATATTGAGTAAGGAGGTTTTAATGTTTTTTTGTCACTTTGAATAATATTTCTGTTCATGTTTAAAACAAAATCAACTCTCTGTATAAATATATCAGGTGACCGTTAAGGCCCATGGGCCTCTTGTTTTATAAATATGTATATATATATACTGCTTTTAAGCACAGATATGTTCAGGGGCTGCTAGGGTTGGGGAGCCCTGGGGTCTGACCCTGAACAATATGGTGTTCATGAGTGAGTTATATTTAATGACTAGAAATTAAAATTAGCATGGAAGCACTGATTTGAAAATATTGTAAGTTGATGCAGAAAGTCAAACTAATGATTTTTTTTCTGCAAATTATAGATATGTAAATTATGTTCGAAGAACAATTCAAATTTGGAAGACAGTAAAGTCTCTACCGATATTAAAGACCTAAAATATAAAACACTGTGACAATATCCCTTTTCGAACCCTAGTAAAAAAATAGGCATTACAGGAATACAATTGATTAATCTTTCTCTACTTTAAATTAGAAACACTTAAGTCAATACATTTTCTTAAAAATATGTTGACTGTCGGCTGATAGCTGGCTGTGCTAATGAGACAAGAGGAAAACTGTGGCTTAACTAGTATTTGAAGATTGGGGAATACTCATCCTCCATATCCAGGGGTTAAATGTACGCTCACTTTAGCTCTCGATCTGCACCCCTGGAATATGTCATAGCAAAATCGAAGGCTCAGTGTGCACCACCTTGTTGATGAAACGAGAAGGCTAGTTTGATCCTTTGATGTATATCAAAAGAATCTCGCAGTCGCGTAACGGTAAAATTTATTGGCTTTGAAGTCGGTTGTCGCTCCTCTGTAATCTGCAATGGACAAGTATCAGCCTGGTGATTGGTCAGGTTTTTTTACCGGACACCAATCAAATAGCTAGCCGCTTGCCTTCAATCAGAGAGCCAAAGTAAGCGCAACCACTGGATATCGAGGATGGGGAACAAAACACTGATGGGGAAGCACTTCAATTGTTTGAATGATTCTCTTACAGAGTGTCTTGGCCCAGAGAAAAAAGTGCAAAAGGCACAGCAGTTACTCGCAGATCTAAAGGAAAGACAGATAGCTGATTGTCTACCTCAAAAAAACATCATCTCTTACTCAGTATCTTGGACGGATAAAGGTATGTAACTATACTTCATTTTTATGGAGTATTCTTCTTATAATTCCTTATTTTCCATTGTTGGTTTTACCATATAAGGACTACTAGCTATTTCCACATTATTTAATTCATGAAAATCACGTGTCAGTACATTTTTTTTGCATACGTTGGCACAGATATGAAATATATCAATTGCAGTTGGTTAATGGTTAAATGTGATCAATTTTTATTTGATGTGACAGTCTGAACAAATCTTAAGATTGCCAACAAAATTGAGTGTCCCAATTTCCAGAGAATTTGTGTAAAAGATATCCTTTTTGCCAAACTCGAAATATCTGTTTAAGATAGGCTCTGGTCTATGTCACCATGAAGACTGAATTTGTGGCAAAGTATAATCATGATATACTGTGACAAATCTCAATCTCACCGAACAGTTATATCCTCTAAGTGACTAATTCTTCAGGTACATGGCAACATTTACCAGGAAATACATATAAGTTATTGTCTACCAGTGACTGTCTCAAGGTATCTTGAAACATTTACTTAGATATTTACTACAGCCCATGAAATATTTACGTTGCAAAAGTAACAGAAAATGTCATCATTTAGCATCTTACATACATTTCCCAGAACCTTGTTGAAACTTAAGGACCCCAAGGCTATACAAAGAGGTTTAAATTTTAATAAAACTAAAAAGTATCACAGATTAATTAACAAATAATTAACAAATACAATAAATCGTACATCCAGCTGCTCCATTTGATATAGTTATCATCATGTGGGGTTTTTCCTGATCTGTCCCATCGTACCTGCTCCATTTGATATCAATATTACAATGTTTTTTTTTCTCTCATTGTTGTCTATGTTCCTATTGTATTTCAGGTTCAATAAGTGGTAAATGTTTTGTTTTATTTCTCTTTTTAATGATCTAATCATTATTTTATACTTTGCTGCTAATAACTGACATACATGTATTGTGGAGGCTCATTGTTAATAATACTGATGTTTAAATACAGTTAGACCTTCTTATGGTCAACAAATTGGAGACCATAAAAACATTAAAAGTTTAAAGAGTTATCAATATATCTGTGTGATTATACGTAATTATTTATATACATATTGTATCTGTGCCATGATAAAAAGCTATACACCATCAGGGTGATATTTGGGATATGGTTCTATTATTGTGTGAGATATCTAGGCATGCTGAGATATAGTGCTATTATGTGTGAGATATCTAGGCATGCTGGGATATGGTTCTATTATTGCGTGAGATATCTAGGCATGCTGGGATATGGTTCTATTATTGCGTGAGATATCTAGGCATGCTGGGATATGGTTCTATTATTGCGTGAGATATCTAGGCATGCTGGGATATGGTTCTATTATTGCGTGAGATATCTAGGCATGCTGGGATATGGTTCTATTATTGCGTGAGATATCTAGGCATGCTGGGATATGGTTCTATTATTGCGTGAGATATCTAGGCATGCTGGGATATGGTTCTATTATTGCGTGAGATATCTAGGCATGCTGGGATATGGTTCTATTATTGCGTGAGATATCTAGGCATGCTGGGATATGGTTCTATTATTGCGTGAGATATCTAGGCATGCTGGGATATGGTTCTATTATTGTGTGAGATATCTAGGCATGCTGTGATATGGTTCTATTATTGTGTGAACGAGGCATGCTGGGATATGGTTCTATTATTATGTGAATGAGGCATGCTGGGATATGGATATTACTGCATGCAATCCTCTGTTTCTCCTCCCTGGATTAGAAGCCTTTTCTTTCAGATTTCTGTGTGATTTATATCACGAAAAAAAATGTATCTGTTTATTTTGTGCTGTTTGAAATATTTTAACGGTAAAAAAACAACATTACATTTCCTATAATGCATGCAGAATGTTCCAAAGTTTCCTCCTTTAATTAACCCTGACCTAAACATTTCTGTTCTTTTGAACCACAGCTTATCTAGGATATCTAATCTGTGAGATGAAAAATATTTAAAGAATTATCTAACCCCATAACTATGATAGTATGTATTGATAAATCATGCTACAGCAATTTCCTATTTCAGGAGCAGCTGAAAAAGATGGTACATGTATTAGAACTATGGCATTAAGTTGATGTGTCCAACATAAACTTGACATTCCTTGTGTGTGATCGTCTAATATTCTTATTTTTCTGATTTTGTGTTAAAATTTATTGAACCTCTGACATAACACTCACACCTCTGTTATTGTGTGGTTTAGTCTACAAGAAAAACAGAAGCATCTGTTCAATAATTCAATAACCTATATCATTACTGATTATTTATAATGAAATTTAATGTGAAATTTATATTTCAATGTTAACATCACATTTTTCTTCAAATTGTTATGAAATTGTATTTGAATCTGGTTAACAGCTAACATCTCTAAAAGGGAAAGAGATGGCCATGCCATATCACATTTACATCTGTAACTTATGATGGTGGCTGATTTAATTGTGCCATTTCGTTGTTTCTTCTTAATTCTTAACTTTCCATTCTTGTGGATTTGTCTTTTCGTGGCAACAAAACGAAAGATAGATAACGAAAAGTTTCGAAATCTCGCCTTTCAGTGCAAAAAGATGAAAGAATGAGAATTAAGGCTTGCTATAATTCTCATGCTTTTGGGGCAAAAAGACAAAAAACGAAATGTCACAAATCCGCCACTGTATGTAACTGATATGGATTTAAATTAAATTACCTTTGATCTATAACAAAAAACACCATGTCTGTCTTCAGAACATCTTACAATTACTTACAAATGACATAAATAGGACTACTACATTTTCTATATAACAAAGAATCCTGGAGTTATGTGATAAAAGAGATTTATTTGCTAATTTGACAATTTGGTGCTTGTGGAGTATTTTTCCTCTCCGCTTTAATTTATAGCATCTTAAACTATCCTGAATATTATTAGTTATACAGGTCTTTGGCAGGGTACATGGTCTCATGTTCGCTGTCAGGACCTTATGTACCCTGAGCCGAAGGCGAAGGGTACATAAGGTCCTGACAGCGAACATGAGACCATGTACCCTGCCAAAGACCTGTATAACGAATTTGTCATACTGCAAAGCAATGTTCAAGCGTTCTCGTCTTGTAAAGACTCCCATCCTGTTTCCTTGCATCGAGATAAAAATGGCCCAATGCCTCGTCTAATCTTGGCTTCGAGAAGTCCTCAGAATCTGTGTCTTGCTCCTTTTCGCTTAAGTATGCTCTGAAGGTTTTGCTTGCTGAATTGTGTTACTTTTCTTTGTGTTTGTAGGTATAAGTGACGCCCGTTTTGTCTCAATTTCACTCTCCGTGTGGCTTGCAAACCGTTTCGCCATTATGTTCATTGTTGACATTAGTAGGCGACCGTTCTCCGGTGTGTTCGATTCGAATCTGTGAGTTATCTCCCTTACAACAGGCGCGCATGCTCTTATGTACCCCGGCAAGGATACTAACATAGCTTCAGGTACCTTGGCAATTCGACCAATCTCCGTGCGTCATTTTTCTTTGCAGTATGACAAAATTTGTTGTCTTTTACAGTGATTTTTTTTTTAAATTATGCAACAGTTCAAAATTATGATACATTCTTTAGTTTTAGTCCTTATTCAATTCTATTTTATGAATCGTTATTATTTCTATACCTAATTATATATAATCAGATATTAAAATGAACATGCATATAATATGATTGCTACAGGTATTAACCCTGAAGTGACAGAACACAAGAAGTACCTTAGGAAGCTTTCCGATGATTTTGTGAAGGCTGTCACAGGCATGATCACAGCCAGTATAAAGGAGCGCGAGGCATCCTCAAACACTGACCCCCTCTTCACCGAATGTCTACAGCATATCCGCTTCTGTCAGCAAAAGTGTGCTACCTTCCATGGAAGGGAGACTACTCTTGATGTATGTACAGAAAACACATGATTTTAGATGTATTTCTTACCTTATGAGTCCCTTACCTGTTAAATAGAGGAACTGGAATATTTCTGCATCTGCTCATCCAATCTACAACTTCTGACCTGCTGAATATATTTACATTTGCTCTGCATCCTTCCATTGCAATGCATTGAGAAGGCAAGTGTTGTTGTGAGACTATAACAACATTTGCTCTTGTAACGTCATCAATCTTTAGTGTGACGTCTTCAATCTCATTGCTGTCAACATTTGATTTGCTGATCAAAGAACTGTTTGAAAGAACTAAATAAAGCATAACTACTCTATCAAAATGTAAATATAAATAATAAATAATTTAGCAAATATTGTTATGGTCCTATAACACACATTTCTATTGCTAACAAACTTAACTTAAAGCCCACCGTTATGTATTAAGTTTGTCATCAATAGCAATGTGTGTTATAGAATGATAACAACATTTGCTAAAACAATCATTGGTTATATAATAATAATATTAATATGAATGTTAAACAACTTTCAAGTTTGTACCCAAAAGGTCAAGGTAGCATCAAGGGTTCAAAGGTCAAATCATTGATGACTCATGACTGGAAGGTTTCTAATGAGGATTAGGTCAAGGTCACTGGAAAGAATTGAATGTAAAATCATTTAAATTATTATTGGGGTCATAGGTTCTGAATGAGTCAATGCTTTCTAACGATCAAAGGAGAACGGGTCAAAGGTTAAACCACTTTCACTGTCTGAGCTAATGGCATAACTTTTACACATCTGAATATTGTTTGCTGAAGCTCAATAAAATTATCATAACCAGTACCATTATATCCATTGAAATAAATGAAATAAATGAAATAAAAAACACAAAAATATACAGCAAATAATCCCACTGAATTTTTAAGTGATTTTATTAAACCACAGAAAATCAAGACATACCTGACAACTGCCAACCAGAAGCCTTTGGTCATTCATGGAATGTCTGGTTGTGGTAAAACTTCCATCATGGCTATGGCTGCCAAACTAGTTCCTAGCTGGATGAACAACACAGAGCCTGTAGTGGTCATCCGGTGAGTATACAGTTGATATATTCCTTCATTACAGGAAAAGTTTTTTTTCCGCTGGACTAGGTATAATTAATTCTTTTTTTTGGCCCCCAAATCCATCAAAATTAAAAACCTTTTGAACTTTCAAATCACTGTTTCCTACCATGTAACTGCATACACACATAGTGGGCTTGAAGAGTCAAATACATCCATGCTACCAGGATTGACTCTGAGGTCCAGCCCCACCAATGGGAACTTAGTCCAAGGGTTATAACATGGAAACAGTTGAAATTTCCTCTAGAAAAGCATTTGCTAGATATGAAGAGACAAATGCAATAAAGCTACCAGGATTTCACCTTGGTCTACTTGCTGACTTAGTCCTTGGGTTATCACATTATAACCATATGCATTTGCAAAGCATAAAGAGATGAATACTTTCATACTATCAGTATTGGCCCAACCTCTTAGGACTTAGTCCCCGGGTCATAAACTTGGCCTTACCCTCACCATATACAGTACTGGGTGGTCGGGTGGTGCAGTGGATAGCGCACTTGCCTTTCACCAAGGCGGCCAGGATGCGATTCCCCAGTCGGACGTGAAAGGTATTGGGTCACCTATCCGACCACATGGCTTTTCTCCAGGTATTCCAGTTTCCTCCCACATTAAGACACCCCCCCACTAACATCCGGGCCAACAAGAGTAATTTATATAAGTTGCAATAACTTATTTCATAATTGTTGTAAAATAAATGAAGTTTACATTTACATATATAGTATCACTGCTTTCTTGTAACCATAAATATATATCTCAGCTGAAATAAGATGAATTTTATGGTTTGTGTTGTAGATTTTTAGGTACGACCCCTGACAGTTCTAACATCAATAGTCTACTGATGAGTATTATACAACAGATAAACATCATCTATGGCTACCACATTGACGTACCAGAGGTAAGACAGAGTCACACCGCGACCAAGAACTAAATTTGTTATACTTTGTTAGAGAACACATGTTTTGTCATCTTGATACACATAACATTATCAGAGGAAGGTGGGTCAGATAACTGTTGAGGTGGGACGTTTTGTTTTCTCAAGTATTATACAACATCGATTAATGTTCAAATTATATTCTGTCTGCAGTTATTGTTGACAAACTCTTGTTTGAGTTAATAGTTAAGGAAATAGACAATATTCCTGCCAAATTATTCAAATGAAAAAGGACCTTGAAGTATTGATGACATAATGTGGACAAAATAACCAGGATAGCAGTCGGAACATGAATAACTTAACTGTACATGAATTTTAGGAACAATTTCAGTTGCATAGCAACTGAAGGTACTTAAAGAATGTGTAAATGTATTTATATAAATATTTGAATGATTTTCTCCACAAGCTTTAGATCATTCTGGGAGATCAACAACTGTTCTGTTTCTATCTGAATTACCTAAATGTTTTTTCCAGGTTGTTGACAGTGACAAGGTTCGGTTTTATTTTGTGACAGCTTAATTGTAAAGCTGATGTTAAGACAGAGTGTGGCACAGGGGTCTGTTGTTTGAATTAAAAGAAAAGTGTGGCACAGGGGTCTGTTGTTTGAATTAAAAGAAAAGAGTGACACAGGGGTCTGTTGTTTGAATTAACACAAAAGAGTGGCACAGGGGTCTGTTGTTTGAATTAAAACAAAAGTGTGGCACAGGGGTCTGTTGTTTGAATTAAAACAAAAGAGTGGCACAGGGGTCTGTTGTTTGAATTAAAACAAAAGAGTAGCACAGGGGTCTGTTGTTTGAATTAAAACAAAGGAGTGGCACAGAGGTCAATTACTGTTAACATACCTATTTTAGCTGACTTAGAATTGCAGTGCTTTATCAAATTTTAATGATTAGCACATGAATATTGGTGCACCCAAAAATTATCAATTGAAAACAATATACAAGAACTTCAATTGGTGCAATATTTTAGTGTAATAATATAAGTGCAAAAAGCGCTAAAATAAAACTACCCCTAAAACATGTATGTTTACAGTATTTGACTAAGAACAAGTCAGTGTCAGGTATATCTGGAAATGTTTTAACTCATTCACCCCTGAAGAAACATTTGAACTCTTCCAATTCAAAGGTTGGAATAGTTCATTATAAAACTTAAGGGGTGAATGAGTTAATGTCATGGTTTGAGAGCAACCTTATTGAGGATTGAAGCCAGTGGAGAATTATAATACAGTGACAGCTATCAAAGCATAAATTATCATAATTTATATTGGTGTACTGCAGGGGTCAATACTTTGACCCTGTCTGTTATTTCATTTCCCAGTGTTATCATTTCAGAAATTAATGCCACTAATTTGTATGTTTTCTGATGTTCTTCACTGCTTGTTTCTAGTTGTTGATCATGATCAGAAATCGCAGCCGAGATTTAAATCACATGTCTATTGTTACTGGTGTCAATACTGCGGAGCCTAAGTACTTCACACACAGCTTTAATTGTCTTGGTGCTAAATCTTTCTGAGTTATTATTTATGCATTATCAATGCATTGATCTATTACATATCTATACCAATGGGACAGCGCGTCTTCTCAAAATACATATCACAGACAAGGAACACTGTTCAACAATTTCAAGGTTGAAAAATTTCTCTATGGTAACCGAAATTTGTCTCGCACAAGAAATATTTTAATTTTGGAACATATTGTAAACTATATAAAATATAGCCTCTCTCAAAATGAAGGTGATTCACCATGGATACTCTCCAGAATAAACCATGCACTTCTCTCCTCAATCAGCTGTCACAAAACTTCTGTCTTCTTTCCTTCTATATTCCGTGTGTGTTGAAGTTATTTAAGGACATCATATAAAATTGTATGTTTTGGTGTGTGACCGATGTATTATTAACTTTAATATGAAGAGCTTTACACAAAATCATAATTCTTTTTGGGAATTATAATTTATACATTGTAAAGGAATTAATGTCACTTGAATGGTATTGTACAATTATAACCACCCTGTATACATATATATACAAATTAATGTACATACTGAATTGAGAATTCAGCCCTTTTTCGATTCTTTCTAGGTAATATTAGAATATATATATATAATTTTTATTGTTGAATTGAATAATGCTATAAACAATCTTTTGGCTTCCTTAATGAAGTTTTATGTAAAATGTTTTAAAAATTGTGTACAGAATTCTGCATCAAATGGGACATGTACAATATTTATCCGACAATAAGCCCATGCTTGGTAATGAGCCTGTACCAATATATATTGCAGTTAGGATAAGAAATGCCAACCCAGGTGTTTTTTCATTGTACTGTAATAAGCCTATCCCCTACTGTCAGTCAGGGATCATGTCAGTGATTATGTGTTGGCCACCTGGGCTTATTGCAGGATAAAAATGATAATAATATAATTCCTGTCTTAAAACTTATCATTTACAGGATCTGACTGACCTGATGAAGGAGCTTCAGTTTGCACTTCGCCATGCCAAACCCAGCAGACCTCTAGTCCTCATGCTCGACTCCTTGGATCAACTTGATCCCACTAACAACGCACGCAGTCTGCAATGGCTGCCCACAGTCTTAAATAACAGCGTCAAGATTGTGGTATCCACCCTGGAGGATGACGTATATGAGTGCTTTCCAAAACTACAGGTAATTAAATCAATCTAAATATAGACCTGGCCTTACGGTTGCCTTAATAGTGCTTCCTAAAACTTCAGGTATGTCAGTCTTAACATAGACCTGACCTCAAGGTTGTGTTAAAAGTGCTTCTGAAAACTTCAGTTACGTCAATCTAAATATAGACCCAATGTCAAGGATGTGTTATAAGCACTTCCCAAAAATACATATAGGCCAGTTTAGATATAGATCTGATGTGAGGTTTGTGTTAATAACACTTGTCATAACTACAGGTTGGTCAACCCATGCCTAATACAGACCCAATGTCAAGGTTGTATTCATATTGGTAGGTCATGTCCAATACAGACCCAATGTCAAGGTTGTATATTCATATTGCTTCACAAAACTATTGGTAGGTCATGTCTAAATTTAGACCCAATGTCAAGGTTGTGGTATAAATGGCTCCAAAAGGCCCAAAAGTACAGGTACTGGTCAATCTTAATATAGACTTTATGTTAAATTTATGTCATGTGATTGTTGAAAATTAAGGCTAAATCAACAAACTTTGATATAAGTTTGTTTCAAATCTGAGCCTCCCAGAGCTAAAGGATATTCATTTTAATATTAATTCAAAGTAAACATAACAGTGGTCATTATGTTTTAAATGCCTCCGCTAGGAGTCGACCCTCGGACATCTGGCTTACTAGTCTTACGCTCTACCGAATGAGCTAAAGAGAAATTCTCTCTAGTCGAGTCGGTAGGAAGCGGCTAGTATCTTACCAGGGTGACATACTCCCCCTCCAGGAAAGAACTCGTCACAAGTTTTCCAGGGGTCATAGCGATTCCTTTGCAAGTATCGTTGAGTAATTTTGTCAAATCTTCTGGATCCCTACGTGGATGCCAATGTAACAGAGGTCATTATTTTTTCAATTCCTTCGCTAGGAGTCGAACCCAGGACCTCTGGCATACTAGTTTTACGCTCTACAGAATGAGCTAAAGAGAAAATCTCTCTAGCCGAGTGGGTAGGAAGCGGCTAGTATTTTACCAGGGTAGCATAGATCATATAAAGCTACCTTTAAGATTCAGTTTGTTACTTGAAATACTATCTAAATTGTAAGGTCACTGTAGGTCATAAAATACCAAAATGTATTCAGTGTTATCAGTTAAAGTAGTAAGGTCAAGGTCATCATTAAATTTTAAATGAAACTAAATATACATTGTCTGTCTTGCACTTATGATAGAGTATAGTTTCAAGGTGATTATACATACAGTTTACATTTCTGAGATATAGAATAAAAACATTGGAAACAGTTCTTGTGAGTTATCTTTCATTAAGGTAAGCTGAGCAATACTATCAATTGACATTAAGTGCTTGGCTTATGCATTCGGTAGCACACTCCACTTTCACCAGGGTTTGACTCCCCAATTTAACATGAACAGGCAATGGGTCACCTGCCTGGTCATGTTAGTGTTTCTGTGTATTCCACTTTCTTCCCACATTAAGATCTTCTGCACACTTCCATTCAGGTAGCAACAGTCATTACTATAACTTAGAAAAAATTGTTTCATAATTGTTGTAAAATAGATAAAGTTTATATCGATTTCAATTAAAAATAATATATTTGTTTCATGTTTCAGCAAAAACTCAAAAACCCTAGTCAGTTTGTACCTGTCCCTGTCCTGGAGAAGAAAGACGTCAACAATATCTTGGACAGCTGGTTGAAATCTAACAAACGCACACTGACCAGTGAACAGCGTAATACAGTGACCAAATCGTTTGACCAATGCCCGATTCCGCTGTTCCTAAAACTTTCTTTTGACGAGGCCTGCAAGTGGAATTCTTTTTCCCCCCCGGACCAGACTAGGCTAGAGTCTACTGTTAGAGACAGCATCAATATGTTGTACTCCCGACTCGAGGTCAGGCATGGCGAAATCTTTGTTGCTCATGCTCTTGGCTACTTAACCACTGGTAAGTTCATTTTTAGAACACCTCGAGCTATCATCAGCAGGTCTCAATTTTGTGGGGGGGTTTTGCATAACATCTTAAGCACTAATTTAAATCCAGTGCTAAAATTGATATATAATAGGATTAAATCACATTTTAAGAAAACATAGCTATATGTTTGTGTATGTGTATAAATTAAGACGGTATAGTGCCGCACTTGGGAGTGCAACTGTTAAAATACGTTCATTTTAGGCTGTATATCTGATTTATAGATTAGTAATTATATTTTATGTGCTTTTGTTTGAGTTTTCATTATGAAACACCAGGTAGGATATATTCAAACTAAAGGGAACAGGTTATGTTCAATTTGCCAGACTCCAGGCTTTCCTATGGTAGCACATGCATAGCACTATATTTTTGTCTAACCTGTCAAAGCTAGCGTAAGAAACATCGTAATCAACTGTTTCCATACAAACAGCACAAACTAGTCATTATTTTGACATATGCTGCTTTCACCGTTTTCATAAAGTTCACTATAACGACCATTTTAAAAAACATGAAAATGACTTATCTAATTTAATGACTGATTGAACTGAGTTTTCTGGCTATGAATTGATACAATATTTTCATTTACTTTCAGCAACAAGTGGTCTCTCTGAGTCAGAGCTAGAAGACATCCTTTCATGTGATGATATTGTTCTGAATGATGTGTATGTGTACTGGACCCCTCCAATGCGACGACTCCCCCCTCTCCTCCTGGTGCGACTGAGAACTGATCTGCAGGAATATATAGGTAATATTAAACAATGAAAACACAATTTTAATAAATTGTATACATGCTGTTATTTATTATGAGAATTATTCCCTTGAGTTTATGTGTACAATATACAAATAGTCCCTACACAATGTTTGTGAACAGTGGAGGGTGTTGGGGTTAAAGAGGTGAAAAGGTCACTCACATTAATTTGGTTATAAAAACCTATTATGCAGCATCAACTTACTACAGCAGCTGCAGACATCACCTACAATCTTACAGATGGACAGTGGTCAAGTGCAGTCTTGTGTTTGTTAGTGCAATCTTTTTTGACCCGCCTCCTCACCATCATCCTCCATTAGTATTGTTGTACTAACCTGTAACTTATTATCCAGGTGGCGGTTTTGTCCCCACCTAGGGCCAAACTATATTTTATGTATATGTTCCATATTGGTTTATACAGTTTTGGAATTTTTTTCAATTGTCATTTATACAAAAAACACAGCCAATTTCAATTCAATCATGTGTTTGGTTATTTATGTTCAGTTTGGTCCAACAAGCTTGCCCTGTCTGAAGTCTAGAGTATAGAGTATAAATGAGTATTTTACCTCACTGCCCTTAGTCTTCTGGTTGGAATGAGTTAAGGTCAGCAACAGTATATATATTAGGTACCTATAGGCATATACGAGGAAAACATTGGTGATCTTGCAGAGTTAAAATGCTACAATTATCACTTCGTAAACGCATATAAAATCTCTGTTACAGTGGAGAGGGGAGCAGATGGTGTGCGAGTCATGTACTGGTACCACAGACAGTTCATAGAGGCTGCAAGGTCACGTTACTGTGGCGAAAAGATCATCCGGCATCTTCACTCAGGGCTGGCAGAGTTCTTCAGTGGAACATGGAGCAAAGGTCAGTACTAGAGGTCAAAATATTGTAAAGGTCAAGGTTATTCACATTATCTACTCATGGAGTGGTGGTAGGTATAGTTTAGTACAGTAAAACATTTGCACTTGTTTGTCAACCAGTCTTGTTGTATACATTGTGACGTCAAGATGTTGTCCTTTTAAAATAAACTTGAAAAATCCTGTGAACAGTGAAAGCAGGTAGTTTCCTAGTCGGTCGTTAGTTGATGTTTTTTTCCTATACAAATGTACAATAAGGTAAGGTCAAGGTCAGTCTACAATAGGAACAAAGCCATTTAGACTATAAGTAATAGACTGAGCCCAGTCCTGTCTGAGCATAACGAGAATCATGTTTAAGTATAGTATTGATGTTAGGTTGATGATCACATGCATTTTTTAGTGTGTATCATTAGTAAAACATTGGGATTAGGGAGGCCTTTTTATTGAATTCCTGCTTTGTACAAAAAATCGTTTGTGTTTACTGTCTAAAGTCATCTAGTGCTACAGCTTTCATGTGACTTTGATTATGCAACTTAACTTTTCTGATCCTAGGGAACAAGAAGTCCTACACAGACAGATCAGGAAAACCAGGATTGGAAGATCGCCATGTGGCAGCACAGCCAATGAAATACGGCAATACGTACAATGTTCGCAAGCTCAACAACCTTCCGTTCCATCGAATTATGGCCGGTCACCTAGAGGAAGTAAAGATTGAATGCCTGGCCAACTTCCACTTCCTCCTGGCAAAACTAGTGGCCACCTCAGTCAGGTCAGTACAACCAATCGGAGAACTGTTTAAATATTTTGAACCAATTGAAATTATTTTTTTAGTGCTTCACAAGGGGTCAAAACTCATGACCCCTGGTTTACTATAGTATGGCACTCTACCATAAATAAGCTAAAGAGAAACTCTCCCTAGCCAATTCAGTTGATCGAAAAGTTGCTGGTATTTTACAAGGCTGATGTGAATATGGTAATGATGGGTCTCCATGCTGACATGAACACCCATTTGACTCTTAAATGTCCGAAAAACTTACTGTGCTGATTAACAAAAAGAATGATCTTTGGTCATGATACGACTTGTTTTGTGTCTGTACAGGAATGTAGTGTATGACTTCCAGGAAGCCAAGAAAGAGCTGCCCCAGGACTATACCATAGAGATGTTACATGATTGTGTGCAGCTGTCACAGCAGGCCCTCATCTACGATCCCTTCCAACTGGCATCACAGTTCCTCATACGGCTAGCTGGGGAACAGGTACGTAACATTATCAGGCCCTCATCTACGATCCCTTCCAACTGGCACCACAGTTCCTCATACGGCTAGCTGGGGAACAGGTAGGTAACATTATCAGGCCCTCATCTACTAACCCTTCCTACGGCACCACAGTTCCTCATACAGCTAGCTGGGGAACAGGTAGGTAACATTATCAGGCCCTCATCTATGATCGCCTCCTTCAGGCACCACAGTTCCTCATAGCTAGCTGGGGAACAGGTACGTAACATTATCAGGCTCTCATCTACGATCCCTTCCTACAGGCACCACAGTTCCTCATACGGCTAGCTGGGGAACAGGTCGGTAACATTATCAGGCCCCCATCTACTAACCCTTCCTACAGGCACCACAGTTCCTCATAGCTAGCTGGGGAACAGGTAGGTAACATTATCAGGCCCTGACCTATGATCGCCTCCTTCAGGCACCACAGTTCCTCATAGCTAGCTGGGGAACAGGTAGGTAACATTATCAGGCTCTCATCTATGATCCCTTCCTACAGGCACCACAGTTCCTCATTTGGCTAGCTGGGGAACAGATAGGTAACACTATCAGGCCCTCATCTACTAACCCTTCCTACAGACACCACAGTTCCTCATAGCTAGCTGGGGAACAGGTAGGTAACATTATTAGGCCCTCATCTACGATCCCTTCCAACTGGCATCACAGTTCCTCATACAGCTAGCTGGGGAACAGGTAGGTAACATTATAAGGCCCTCAACTATGATCCCTTCCAAATGGCACCACAGTTCCTCATACGGTTAGCTGGGGAACAGGTAGGGAATATTATCAGATCCTTATACAGCTGACAGGGAACAGGTAGGTAACATTATCAGATCCTCATACAGCTGGTAGGGGACATGCATGTAACATTATCAGATCCTCATACAGCTGACATCCTGGGAACAGGTAGGGAACATAATCAGATCCTTATACAGCTGACAGGGAACAGGTGGTAACATTATCAGATCCTCATACAGCTGACAGGGAACAGGTAGGTAACTTTGTCAGATCCTCATACGGCTGGCAGGGGACAGGTAGGTAACATTATCAGATCCTCATACAGCTGACATCCTGGGAACAGATAGGGAACATTATCAGATCCTAATACAGCTGACAGGGAACAGGTAGGTAACATTATCAGATCCTCATACAGCTGACAGGGAACAGGTAGGTAACTTTGTCAGATCCTCATACGGCTGGCAGGAGACAGGTAGGTAACATTATCAGATCCTCATACAGCTGACATCCTGGGAACAGGTAGGTAACATTATCAGATCCTCATACAGCTGACAGGGAGCAGGTAGGTAACTTTGTCAGATCCTCATACGGCTGGCAGGGGACAGGTAGGTAACATTATCAGTTCCTCATACGGCTGGCTGGGGAACAGGTACGTAACATTATCAGGCCCTCATACGGCTGGCAGGGGACAGGTAGGTAACATTATCAGATCCTCATATGGCTATCTAGGGAACAGGTAGGTAACATTATCAGATCCTCCATACAGCTGGCAGGGGACAAGTAGGTAACATTATCAGATCCTCATACAGCTGGTAGGGGACATGCAGGTAACATTATCAGATCCTCATATGGCTGGCTGGGGAACAGGTAGGTAACATTATCAGATCCTCATACAGCTGGCAGGGGACATGCAGGTAGGTAACATTATCAGATCCTTATACAGCTGGCAGGGGACAGGTAGGTAACATTATCAGGCCCTCATACGGCTGGCAGGGGACAAGTAGGTAACATTATCAGATCCTCATATGGCTTGCTGGGGAACAGGTAGGTAACATTATCAGATCCTCATACAGCTGGCAGGGGACATGCAGGTAGGTAACATTAACAGATCCTCATACGGCTGGCAGGGGAACAGGTAGGTAACTTTGTCAGATCATCGTATGGATTGCCGGGGAACAGGTACATGTAGGTGAAAGTTATCACCTTTTCCCATTACAGCTAACTCAGAACATATAGGTAAAATTACTAGGGACTTCAATGTTTTTGCTAGTTACATTTCAAAAATAAAGGATATAATGAAAAAAAACCTCATTTTCTGCTCTCTTTTTTTATCGCAGAATCCAGAACTGGTCAAATTTTGTCTGCAATGCCAGAAATACCCGTCCCCCTACTTGGTGCCAGACAAGGACATATTGGTCAAACCTGGTGGTCAGATGGTCTACATGCTCCAAGAACATACAGCTGCAGTAATGGGACTGGACATGACAAAGGATGGAAAAACCATTGTTACCTGTAGGTACACAAGCCACTAAATAGGAAAGCGTAAGTTCAAAGTTCGAAATTCAGGAGTATATAATACTTCAACATTAAAATATGTTTTTTTAATCATAATATAATAAATTGATAGAATATCATCTTATTTCTCTATTTTACCAAGGAGAAATCAGTTTGCTTTTAGATATCCCCGTACCTGACTATTAAAAAGCAGTAACTTATAATTCATTAGAAACAATTTTTTTCCAGCTTTTTGAAGCTTCGATAAATCATTTCTGGAAAGAAAATCATATGTTTCGGGACTTTTCTAAAAATAACTTACAGAGATGAAATAAACAAACAGTAATCATCAGCAGTGTTCTGTGTGTAAAAATTCAGCATGGCTAGACGAGGATTTTAACCCTGGATATTAAATTATTATAACGTCACAACGTGTACATGAAAAAGCACTGTGGAGGGAGAAAGTGCGTGAAAATGTGACTGAAACTTTCTGCTTCGCTCAATTTATCTTTCTCTTTTTATGAATCAAACTAAGTCCAAAAAGCATTCATTTGATTCAGACACACCTGTTATGATCATTACACACACCCTACAGTAAATAGGTCTAAAGTGAGATCATTTGACCACAGGATGTAGATTTTGAGTTTGTTTGAGTTTGGTTGAATGAGAGAGATTGGTAAATTTTGATCAAAATGAGGGAGGTTTGACAGCTATGAGTGGGACATGAATTATTTTAGTAGTTCTTACAAAGACATGTTGATTTTAATGTATACAGGTGCAGATGATGATGAACAGAGCGTGAAGTTATGGAATGTGGAGGATGGAACTTTGATCAAAACGTTCAATAAGTTAGGAGAAATTCCAGATTACGTCACATTCATAGCCAACGATACACTGATGCTGGTGGAGTACTCTAAAAACCTGAGGGCCATCCAGCTCACTGGGGAGGTGGCTTACACTTTCAACTACTCCTCAGGGGCATACACAGCAGCGGGCAAGGACCGCAGTCTCGTGGCCGTCTTCAAGGGCAAGGTCGGTTCTGTCTTCGACGCCTATACTGGGAAAAAGACAGAGGTGACTCTGTTACAGAAGTCTAGACCAATGAGAGATTTTGCATCTAATAATCATAATGCTATAGCTGGTAATTGTATATATTTATCAAATTTGATTGACTGTTTATTTAAAGTGTGAAAACCATACAAATTTATAATGTATACAAATGAGTAAAAGATGTGGATTAGTTATGTTGCCTTACAAGCATCAGCTGTAGGGAATTTGCCTTAAGCTCAGCGGTAGAGCATCGGGCTGGGGAGCCAAGAGTCGCAGGTTCGAGGCCCAGCGACGGCACTATCTTTATCACTAATCCTAGCTCTTCCTACTACAAATGTACTTCTCAGTTGATTTTAAATAAATTTCTTCACACTCTGTCTGTGATGTGTGTTACTGACTTTTTCATCTTCCTTAACCCATTCACCCCTGAAGTCACATCTGAACCTTACCAAATCAAAGCAAAGTCCAGTTTAAATATTTAGGGGTGAATGAGTTAATTAAAACATTTCGAGCGAAATTATTTAATCAAGAACTACCTGTTCTGTATAAGTGTACATATCATCCATAAGTACAGGACTATGTATGGTTTGGGCATGTTTTGGCCCCAAAATGCATCAAAATTCTAAACCTTTAAATGAACTTTCAAACGACTGTTTCTTTAATTTAAAAAAAAATGAATATTCAGTGAATAATGTCATATTTTACATAATTTATTTCCTGGAAACTATAGAGCGTATCAAAGGATAATTTGTATGCACCTGTTATAATTAGGAGAAATATAAAGTTTGATCAAGAGTGCACTCTATGGTAGCTAAGAGAAAAACTAGGTGAAAACCTGTCAAAATTGACTGCAATTTTCAAATTTCATTAATTTATGCAAATATGAAGTGGTTACCATGGCAGCTATAATTGAAAATACAAATAAATGTTTACATGATATTACCGGAGAAGTATTCAAAATTAAAGCAAACAGTCATTTGAAAGTTCTATTGAAGATTTTTAATTTCGATGGACTTTGGGGCCAAAAAAGGCCCAAACTATGTATAGTCCTTTATCTTCATAAAACACATGTTACAGTTACAGCTCCACGGGGCCAAAGGGTCAAGTTAGCTTATCATATAACGTTATGCTGTGGAGTAGCACTTTATAAAAACAAGGCTATTTCTTAACAGCTGATCAGATTTCAACTATATTTTGTGAACATCACCAAAGAATACAATGTTATATAAACAGAGATTATAACTCTCTCCCTCCCCAACAAAATTTGTTTTCCACCTGTATCAAAGTTTTACTTTATACACAAACAATGTTCGTATTAATTGTGTCGCAACATTCAAGACCGACTTGTCCCTTCGTCAAGCTATTATATGTCTTGAAACGTTGCGACATGTTTAGTATGTACATCGTTTGTGTACAAGCAGCGTTTCAAGACCGAGTGAATCCTTTGTCAAGCTATGTCTTGAAACTTTGCGACACATTTAATACATTCATTGTTTATAAAGTAAAACTTTGATGTTATTTATTTCCAAACTGACGATTCTTACTGAAGCTTAATGCTCCTCTTGTTTTAATTACCAAACATGTTTTCCCTATTCTCAATTTATCTACATCACTTTTAACCAAATGTCATTCAAATGGTTCTATTTAGCCTCTACCAAGCATTGCTAATTAAATTATATAGATCAGTAATAAATCTGAGATGAGATTAATGTCACAAGGTAGTGGAAGCATATCTTTAGATCTTGTCTAGTTCAGGTTGAAACAGGTGAGCAATACAGGTCCTTTGGGCATCTTGTCAAACTGGCAAATGGGTATATGAGGTAATAATATTAAAAGAAGTGAGTGTATTTTTTTTATAGGAAGTGAGAAGTATATTCTGCTTGTGGATGACAGCTTGTACAGTGTGCTAGTGGTGAACTTAGAGGAAGGAAAGATGACTGATTGGGTGATGATATTTGAACCTCCGCCGCCCGACGATGATGAAGCAGACGACAAAAATGTGGATGCCGTAGCCATCACTCCGGATCAGAAAAGTTTTGTCGTTTCTAACTGCATGGACAACGACCTGCACTTCTACAACATAGAGACACTGCAGAAGATCAGGGTCATCAAAGGTCAGTGATTCAGCTTGACCAGGTCAGGGGTTCACAGTCATCAGAGGGCAGCAGTTCAGCTTGACCATGTCAGGGGGTCACAGTCATCAAAGGTCAGCAGTTCGGCTTGACCATTGCAGTGTTTTAGGGTCATCAAATGTCAGAGGTTCAGCTTGACTAGGGCAGGGGGTCAGGGTCATCAAAGGTCAGTGATTCAGCTTGACCTGGTCAGGGGTTCACAGTCATCAGAGGGCAGCAGTTCAGCTTGACCATGTCAGGGGTTCTCAGTCATCAAAGGTCAGCAGTTCGGCTTGACCATGTCAGGGTTTTAGGGTCATCAAATGTCAGAGGTTCAGCTTGACCATGTCAGGGGTTCACAGTCATCAGAGGTCAGCAGTTCAGCTTGACCAGGTCAGGGGTTCACAGTCATCAAAGGTCAGCAGTTCAACTTGACCAGGTCCGGGGTTCACAGTCATCAAAGGTCAGCAATTCATCTTGACCGGGTCAGGGGTTCACAGTCATCAAAGGTCAGTTGTTCAGCTTGACCAGGTCAGGGGTTCTGACAGTCATCAAAGGTCAGTTGTTCAGCTTGACCAGGTCAGGGGTTCTGACAGTCATCAAAGGTCAGTGATTCAGCTTGACCACGTCAGGGATTCAGGGTCATCAAAGGTCAGTGATTTAGCTTGACCAGGTCAGAGGTTCAGGGTCATAAATGGTCAATGACAGAGGTTGACAAGGTCAGAGGTTTGAAAGTTTCTAAAGTAAAGGTGTTGACTTTTATCATTGAAGACGTGGAGAGTATTATCTGAGTGAATGAGTCACTCAAAATTAGAAAAAAAATGAAATAAGATACAGTTAAACCTGTTCATGTGACCACCTCCATTGCGTGACAACCTTTGTTATAAATACCACTTTTACTTATCCCTATTTTAGTGATTTCATTGTGAAAGGAACCTGTATTAAGTGACCACTGGGGTTTGCTGAGGATGGTCTTTTGTACAACTTCAACTGTATAAGGTCATTCGATACATTTAAGTTAAGATAACTTGTACATGGAAAAAGCTGTAATGGAACCAAACTTTACTTGAGATAAATGGAGATATCCAAGATTATAGCAACAAATTTGATTGGTGTTCTTTTAAGTGACACAGACGTCATGACCTTTAAATTTTTTCGGTGAAAAATCATTGTAATGTTGAAACTCAAAACTTTAAACTTAAAAAAAATAGTTTTCATTTCATTGACATCAGTTTATTAAATATTTAACAAAAGGTACAGTAATTCACGCAGCGCAATAGCTAGTTATTCATATCACCTCAATGGTCTTCTAAATATTTAACCAATATACACAACACAAATTAAGTGTTTTCTCCACCCCCACACAACTCCAACAACCCAGGTGGAGTATAAATTGGTCTGGGGTGGATGTTGCGGTATATGTGATGTAGCATTCAAGTGAGGTGGCACTATAAAAGATGCCGTTGGAAGCACAGTCCCACTACAAACAGACACACATTACATCTCCAGCACACACGCAGGCATACACACATAGGGAGATATTAGCCAGGTGGCATAGGACTAGTAGTTAGCACCTGATAAGGCAGCTCTTACGAATTCCTCAAAAATTAATGTATATGTTAATTGTATTAATTGTATATCTATGTACTGTGAAGTACTTTAGAATGGCTTATGTTAGCTTGATAGGGCGCTATATCAAATGCTGTATATTATTATTATTATATTATTACAATATGTCATTACCTTAGTTGATAATTTACGTAACACTATATCTCATCACATTATGATAGAGTGAAATTGAATTAAGGATCCCAGTATCACTGTCAAAAACTGTAACCAATTATTGGAAACTGTTTTCTCTGGCAGGAGTAAAGCTTTAATAAACATGATTAGGAAACCATATATTGTGAGACTTTTATGAGAAATAGTAAAGATGAAATTTTCTGAGTGTGAACAAAATATATCGAGGCTAGACAGGGATAATCAAACCCCAAACTTCAGATTATTGCACTATTGCAAAAACCAATTGAGCTATTTGGTCAATGGCCAAACTGAGCTGCAGTTATATCAAAACACAATTTAGAGGAAGCTTACTCTATATAGAAAAAAACACAGCAGTGGGATAGGGATCCTTAAGGCAAACAACATATGGGAAAGCAATAAGCAAGAACCTCACGATTCAAAACACAAACCACATGATATGTTTGACTTGCAGATTTGTTTTCTTCCTTATAATTGTCTGACATTGATGTGTGCTATTTCAGGGAATGAAAATGACTTTTGTGACACGTATCGATTTGCTCCTGACGGAAACAAACTGTATTTCAAACAAGATACCGAAATCGTGGTGTATGACCTCAACAGCGAAGAGAGGAAAGGAATTCTCTCCCATCCCTCCACTGTTAATGGTGTCATTTGCCAATCCTGGAAGATGCTGGCCACCATAGCCGAAGACACGGCAGTTAGAATCTGGGACGTCACGAAACCAGAGAAACCACAGACAGAGAGCTCCTCTCTAGGATTCAAAGTGATGTAGGTGTTCAATGATGAAAGACATGTGCTCAATATCTCATAGCTAAAATCACAAAGTGAACTGTTGGCATTTCTTTTTGAATTTAAATTGCAACACTGTAAAAGTGGAAATTTTCATTGCGTAGAGATACTAATGCGCTTTTTGTGTTGAGTAAAATTACAGCAAAAAAATCTACAAGCGAATATATATATTTTTATAGATTTTATAGATTATATAGATAATATTGTGTAGAACCTGATTGTCAGCTGATGAACGTTTCCTCGTCATGATCACATTGAAGCGTCACAGCGCAAATATTTCCACACTTGTGAAAATTTCCACTTTTACAGTGTTTTTACACTTATATTTCAAAAATTCTATCTCACTATAAACCTAAGAGTTGGAATTATTTTCCATGACCTTTGTGCAGAAAAACTCATCTCTTTATTATTTTATTTATTATTGAGAAAAAAGGCTTTTAACTTTGAATGAAAAACACCAACTAAGCTTCATTGATAAAATGCTTTGTTGTCCCCAAAACTCAAACAATTCAATGTGATTTTACTTGCCAGGCATTTCTGTCTACTGCCCAATCCACGCTACATCATCCTTATAGTCCGGAAGGACAAGGAGACTAATGCTGGATCCCTGTTGGTGTACGACCTTGCCACCAAGAAGGTCATCCGCAGGGCAACCATGGTCAGTTCAAGGTTCCAGCAATATGCTCTTAATTACTAGTTTCTAAATATTAATAATTCAAATACTCGCAGCTTAATTATCATGATCAAAGATGCATTTTCCAAGAGCTAGACTATGCTTGTGTCAGGTATCCATTTTGTGTTAAATATTTTCTTCAATAAACTTCTTCGTAAGAATTGTGCAGCCTAGAATATGGATGATTGACCTTTATGTGAGCTAAAATGAAGGATTGCAAATTTATTTTGTTGAAACAAGTGAACATAACCTATTCAAGGTGAGAGTGGTGAATTGTGTCAAAATCTTCAAACAATTAACTGTCTGTAAAATGAACCAAGCAGACTAGGGAGTGAATGATTGGCCTTTTGCTGTCTTGGAAGAAGGGCTGTGAATTTTGTTGAAACAAATGACCTTAACTTGTTCAAGGATAAAAGGATGAACTGCTTCAAAATCTCAAACAACTTTTAAAGAAGTGTGCAGCCTGGAGTATGGATGATTGACAGATGACCTTAACCTATTTTAAGGGTTATATGAAATTTGTTAAAATCTCAAACAACTTCTTCTAATGAACGGTGCATCCTTGAGTATAGAAAGCTAGTGTTTACTGGCCTTGCTGGGATGAAGGGCTATCAATTTTGTATTTAAACAAATCACCTTAACCTGTTTTCAAGGTTGTATGAACTTAATCAAATTCTACATACAACTTCAACTTATGAACCAGGATGCTTAAAATATTATTTGTCCTGTAGCTTGCTGGTAAGAAGGACTTTCAATTTTTTCCTAATTAAAATAACTTGACCCATATATATTCAGAGCCACAAAGGTCAAATCTTCAAAAAACTTTTTCTAATGACGATGTAACATGCCTGTTTTCTGGCCAGCCATTGGAGGTTCTGATAATGTCACCTACCTGTTCCAAAAAATAAATTGAAATGCGATGCATTAAATAATTTTGAATTATAATATATATTTGACTACACTGTATTTGGTTGGTCTGTTACATAGCCGGACCTGCCGAGGACCATGAAAAGCCTTGGTGATAAGGAACTACTGATGCTTAACAACAACAGGAAACTAAAGACGATCAACATGCTCACGATGACGGTGACACACGTATTCCAGGGCAAGGTGTGCAAATACTGCAATGCATTGGAAATCATCAAGGATGGAAAAGGTATGCGATTAAAACATACCTGGGTATTTGATCCATGATTAGATATAATTTAGGTACATATATTTTCGCTACATTGTACTTCAAACTATTTTAATATTATAGAATTATATTTTATTCCTTTGCAGAGGTGTTAACCATGACAAGAGGTCAGAAAGGCTTGAAGACTTATGAAAGTAAAACGGGAAAAACCAAAGCAATCCTCTACCCCCCGCCTGATGTTAGAGAACTGCCACAGCGATTTGACAATTCGACACTAACGGTGGGTACTCATAGACCTTAATCATGTGTCTGACTAATGGTGGGTACTCATAGACCTTAATCATGTGTCTAACTAATGTTGGGTACTCATAGACCTTAATCATGGGTCTGATTAATGCTGGGTACTTATAGACCTTAATCATGTGTCTAACTAATGGTGGTTACTCATAGACCTTAATCATGTGTATACCTAATGGTGGGTACTCATAGACCTTTATCATGTGTCTGACTAATGGTGGGTAATCATAGACCTTAATCATGTGTATACCTAATGGTGGGTACTCATAGACCCTAATCATGTGTCTGACTAATGGTGGGTAATCATAGACCTTAATCATGTGTATACCTAATGGTGGGTACTCATAGACCTGAATCATGTGTCTAACTAATGGTGGGTACTCATAGACCCTAATCATGTGTCTGACTAATGCTGGGTACTTATAGACCTTAATCATGTGTCTAACTAGTGGTGGGTACTCATAGACCTTTATCATGTGTCTGACTAATGGTGAGTACTCATAGACCTTAATCATGTGTCTGACTAATGCTGGGTACTTATAGACCTTTGTCTTGTGTCTGCCTTAGAAATTTCACTCTCCATCTGATGATTTTAGTGATTTATCTTTGTTTGGAAGGTAAAGATTTCATTATACACTAATTGCACTTATGTGAGGGAGACCTGAAGAGTTGTTTACCTGAGATAAATCATGTGACCGGAGGGCGGAGCCCAAGGGAAACATGATTTATCTCGGGGAAAACAACGGGGGAACAAAAAAAATATGCTCCATCAGGTCCATCGAGACAATCAACTGGGATGTGAAAATGTGTAAAGCGAATGTCAACTGGTTACCATGGAAACAAATAGTGAAGACACAAAGAAATGCATTTAAAATAGTATCTGAAAAGTATTTAATTCATAAAAAAAAAAAACTTATTTGAGAGTTCAATTAATTGTTATGAATTTTGATGGATTTGGGGTTGAAAAAGGCTCAACCATTACTCAGTCCTTTGTTCAATGTAATTGGTATAAAGATGATAATTGGGCTTTGAAATATTGTAACCAGGTAAATAATTTGTATATTAAATGTCGAAACTTATTCAGGAAATGAGTGAAATCTAAACTGTGTGAATCTTTTCTGGTACTGAAAACTTTCCTTACAGGAGAAAGTATGGTGTCCTTATCTTTACGATGTGCTGTTCAATACCCAGACATACAGCAAAGCTATATATTAAGTATTAGTCCAATAGTCAAATAACAACCAGTAATACCACAGCACGAATTGATAAATGTTAACAAAGTTTGTATTGTACTTCTTACCTTTGGCCTTTAGAAAACTTTCTGCAGTAACGGTACTTTTGGTCACGTGACATGTATACATACATTGACATCGTTGAACCGGTCGTATTTGTAAAGGAAAAGTAAGGCAAACGATAAGAAGTCCTTCAGCATATAAATAGTTCTGAATAAAACCCTGAACTCTCATCATAAACGTAATTAAATTGACTTCGTATTTAATTATTGTTTTTCTTGCATTCTCTGATTGCATGTATCATGTCGACTTCAGGTCAGCAAGTGTAACCTATGTGTGTGTCGCATAGAAGATGGTCCTATCGCTGTCTTTGACCTCCAGAAGAACGTATGTGTGCATGTCATCAAAGACAAGTTACTGACAGCAGATGATAAGATGTTCTGGGCAGGGTTCATCCCATCAGATGGTTCCATCCTGGCTTTACAGACTGAGCAGGAAGTCCCTAATCCAAAGAAGAAAAACGACACCGTATCAGTGACCTGTATTGCTATATATGATCTCAAGAAGGGTATGTGAATGCTTACAAAAAACTTTGTAAATGTGATGGATTTGATTAAACAATAAAAACAACCTGTTAGACCCCCTGTCTATAAATACAGAGACAGATTTTGCTGTAATTGTAGAGCATCTAGGTGTGACCTCTTTGAAAAGAAAGAGTGGTAGGTTATATAAACTTGGATGCCTTTTTTTCCAGAGGAATTTACTTCACGTTGGTTATTGGACAAGGAATATTTTATGAAGTATCATACCCAGCAGAACAGGATAGGTTTGGAGGTCAGTGTGGACAACTCCATGTTACTGGACGATGACAGGCTGGTTACCTCAAGTGATGACTTTATTATCCGAGTCTGGAATCTTAAAACCGGTAATTTAACATAAAAATCACATTGTTTTTTATATTATTTTATGCTATAATATGTCAATTCAAATGTAATGTGTCTCGTTATACTTCCGCAACAAAGACTGGAGGGATATACTGGCATCAGATTTTCTCTTACCCTGGACAGGTGTATCCGCACTTTTACTGGCGTGAGATTAATAGAATCTTTCACCCCCTTGGGGGTGAGATAGGAGAATCTCAACCCGAGGGGGAGGATTCTTAAGTTGCCAAACACGAGGCTTTGCCGAGTGTTTGGCAACTAAAGAATTTTTCCCCGAGGGTTGAGATTCCACGATCTCACCCACAAGGGGGTGAATGATTCTTTTTCTCTTACCCTGTTCTTTCATTGTGTATCATATGCACAATGTAATGATAATGTTACATGCTAAATTCAGGGTTGACGTGACGTTGATGGATTGTTGACGTGACGTCATTGTATTGTTAAAGTGACGTAATGCCATTGTTAGGAATAGGGGAATCCCCCCCGTCTCAACCCTAGGGTGAGAAAAGGAAATCTCACACCGGTAAAAATGCGGATACACCTGTCCAGGGTAAGAGAATTCCTTGTCTCACCCTTGGGTTGAGACGGGGCGGATTCCCCTATTCATAACAATGGTATGACATCACTTCAACAATACAATGACATCACCTCAATCCATCAACGTCACGTCAACCCTGAATTTAGCCTGTGACGTTAACATTACATCTTGTATATGATACACAATGGGTGAACAGGGTAAGAGAAAAAGAATCATTCGCCCCCTTGCGGGTGAGAAAGGGGAATCTCAACCCTCGGGGAAAGATGCTTAAGTAAAGCCTCGTGTTTGGCAACTTAAGAATCTTCCCCCTTGGGTTGAGATTCCCCTATCTCACCCCTTGGGGATGAGATATTCTGTTAGTCTATACTCCCTTGCATCTGTCTGTTTGTACATGTATATATCATATTTATTGCACAACACCTCGGAAAGTACTGCACCAATTTTAATGAAACTTTGTATATCTATCATAACCTGTGAATGTTTAAATGACAGGTTTTTGCAGCATTAGTTTGTCTTGATATGATTATCTTACCTATAAGTTAGGGTTGTCAGCGGTTAGCTGGTTAGCCTGTTACTCGATTGGTAGACCACACTTATAATCAGACATTAGATTTATCCATTGATAGTCCCATGGTTACCTGGGTAAAAACCTACCAATTATTCATTGATAGTCCCCATGGTTACCTGGGTAAAACCTTCCAATTAACCATTGATAGTCCCCATGGTTACCTGGGTAAAACCAACCAATTATCCATTGATAGTCCCCATGGTTACCTGGGTAAAACCTACCAATTGTCCATTGATAGTCCCCTTGGTTACCTGGGTAAAACCTACCAATTAATCATTGATAGTCCTCATGGTTACCTGGGTAAAAAAGACCAATTATCCATTGATAGTCCCCATTATTACCTGGGTAAAACAGACCAATTATTCATTGATAGTCCTCATGGTTACCTGGGTAAAACCTACCAATTAACCATTGATAGTCCCCATGGTTACCTGGGTAAAACCTACCAATAAACCATTGATAGTCCCCAAGGTTACCTGGGTAAAACCTACCAATTATCCATTGATAGTCCCCATGGTTACCTGGGTAAAACCTACCAATTAACATTTGATAGTCCCCTTGGTTACCTGGGTAAACCCTACCAATTATCCATTGATAGTCCCCATGGTTACCTGGGTAAAACCTACCAATTAAAATTTGATAGTCCCCTTGGTTACCTGGGTAAAACCTACCAATTATCCATTGATAGTCCCCATGGTTACCTGGGTAAAACCTACCAATTGTCCATTGATAGTCCCCTTGGTTACCTGGGTAAAACCTACCAATTAATCATTGATAGTCCTCATGGTTACCTGGGTAAAAAAGACCAATTATCCATTGATAGTCCCCATTATTACCTGGGTAAAACAGACCAATTATTCATTGATAGTCCTCATGGTTACCTGGGTAAAACCTACCAATTAACCATTGATAGTCCCCATGGTTACCTGGGTAAAACCTACCAATAAACCATTGATAGTCCCCAAGGTTACCTGGGTAAAACCTACCAATTATCCATTGATAGTCCCCATGGTTACCTGAGTAAAACCTACCAATCATCCATCAATAGTCCCCATGGTTACCTGGGTAAAACCTACCAATTATCCATTGATAAAAAGAGTTTTGGGCAAAATCAACATAAACAGCCCAATCTGTTAATATTGTTTTTTTAATTCATATTAAAAGAGTTTCTGACAGAGTTAATCTGAAACCTGGAAATATATTTTCAAATTGTGAAATATCATCTTTGAGATGAAGAACTCATCCTTTATATGGTGGTATATGAAGTATGTTATGTCATTTAAAGAACACATACTGTGAATCACTAATATTCGTGGGTTTTTTAATTTCATTGATTTCATGGCATTCTGCGTCCATAAATTCATTGGTCCGCAAAGTAATTACCAGTTTGATATAAAGCCATTCTCTGTTTGAGTGGGTGCTCGTAATCCACAAATTCATGTACCAATGAAATGGTGTTTTGTCAAAAAACCACGAAATTTGGCCCCGACATAAATATCTGATTTCACAGCATTTAACCATATACGTGAAACCTTAGAGATTATGGTGCAAGCATCCAAGAATGAGTTATAAACAAAATTAATTCTGTTTCACAATCTTGCGATCAACACTACAAATTACTGTATCTAATGTTTCTGGTTTTTACCCAAGGTGAGTTGATAAAGAGATTGGAAGGACACAGAGTTGCAGCCAAATTGGTTTCCCATGACAAGAGCCCTTACTTCCTGTCTCTTGCCGAGTTTGTTGAAGAAAACGCTATTCGTGTGTGGGATAAGAAGACCCTGGAGTGTGTGACAAGCTTCAGACTGGATCATACTGTAAGTTACAGGATGTAGATAGAAAATATGAATATAAACTTTTTAAAACTATTTTACAACATAAATCAGCCTTGTTGGCCCGGATGTTAGAGTGCTTGGGGTCATTCATGTGGGAGGAAATCAGAGTACCTGTAGGAAACCCATGTGATCGGGGAGGTGACCCCATACATGTACCTCCATGGCCAATTGGGGAATCAACCCCTGTCTGTCTTGGCTAAAGGTGGGTGCGCTTCTTACTGGTCCACATGACTACCCATTGGTTGTCTGGCTGATAAGGACCCTCCAGGTTGAGTTTTTAGGTCACCTGAGACAAAGTCTCAAGTGACCTATTGCGATCGCCTTTTGTCCGTCGTCGTCCGTCGTCCGTCGTGCGTCCGTAAACAATTTACATTTTCGACTTCTTCTCCAAAACCCCTGAACCAATTTCAATGAAATTTTGCAGGGACCTTCCATGGACAAAGGTCAACAAAAA